GGCACATCCTTTAAAGTTGCGATTATGCCGTGCACCTGGAGAGAAAACACTACGTGATTACTCCTCCAATATTGTACTTATAGATCCATTGGCAAGCATAGCAGCGGTGGAGGAATTTCTGTGGCCCCGAGTTCAACGCAGTGAATCTGCTCTGAAGCCGGCAGCGCCTGCTGGAAATACAGAGCCAGGCACGTTACCTAGCGGTGCTGGTGTTTCATCACCATCTTCGTCAACTCCAGCTTCCACCACTCGTCGTCATTCTTCTAGATCTCGATCGGCAATTAACATAGGTGATACCTCAAAGAAAGATCCTGTGCCTGAGAAAGGTACCAGCTCATCGAAAGGAAAAGGTAAAGGCGTTATGAAACCGGCTCAGGCGGATAAGGGGCCTCAAACAAGGAGCAGTGCTCAAAAGAGAGCTGTCCTTGACAAAGATACTCAAATGAAACCAGCTAGCGGAGACTCCAGTTCTGAGGCATGTTACAGTGCTAAGCTTTTGATTACATAAATGTTTTACTGCGTTACATCATGATGTTGTGGTGTGATCTGCTTATTCAACACAATCTTCCTTGTATGCCTTGCAGGATGAGGAATTGGATATATCCCCAGTCGACATTGATGATGCCTTGGTGATTGAAGAGGATGACATTTCTGATGATGAAGATGATGATAATGAAGATGTAAGTGGTCCTTTGGTTTTTCCCAGTACGTGCATTATATTCCGTGGTTGTCGTTTTTGCTAACACCATAAAAGATATTGCATTTGGCAATAAAGCTTGACAGCTTTATTTTCGGATTATCTTGCCTTGTTAAGTCCTTTTTTGTTGTTAAGCCGAGCTCATTTGGAACCTTTTCTTTTTAGCTTACGCCCCTATTTCTCATATTTTTCTCGCTGCTATCAATAACTTTGGCTTTGTACCTTACATGTGGTCTTGATTTTCTTTCAATACCTTCACAATCATGTATACTTTCATTTCCAGGTTTTGGATGACAGTCTTCCCATGTGCACGCCTGATAAAGTGCATGATGTAAAATTGGCGGACTCAGTGGATGATGATGGTCTAGCAACCAGTGGCCGACAAATGAATCCAGCTTCTGGAGGCACTAGTGGAGCAGCAGCAGCACGGGGATCTGATTCTACTGATACTGGCATTGGGAATTCTTATGGTTCTAGGGGTGCACTCTCCTTTGCTGCTGCAGCGATGGCTGGGCTTGGAGCTGCCAGTGGTAGAGGTATCAGGGGAAGTAGGGACTTGCATGGACGTACCCTAAATCGAAGTTCAGACGAGCCCTCTAAGTTGATATTTACTGCGGGAGGAAAGCAACTTAGTAGGCATTTGACGATTTATCAGGCTGTACAGCGACAACTTATGCTAGATGAAGATGATGATGACAGGTTTGGTGGCAGTGATCTAATCTCAAGTGATGGAAGCAGATTCAATGATATTTACACCATCATGTATCAGAGGCCAGACAGCCAAGTGAATAGGTTGTCTGTTGGTGGAGCAAGTTCTACCACACCGTCAAAATCCACGAAATCTGCTACTACTACCAATTCCAGTGTAGAATCTCAGTCACATAGGGCATCTCTTTTGGATAGTATCTTACAAGGGGAGCTTCCATGCGACCTTGAGAAGTCAAATTCTACATATAATGTTCTGGCACTGTTACGTGTATTAGAGGGTTTAAATCAGCTTTGCCCTCGTTTAAGAGCCCAAACTCTTTCCGATCGTTTTGCAGAGGGTAAAATTACAAGTCTAGATGATCTGAGTACAACTGCTGCTAAGGTTCCTCATGAAGAATTCGTCAATAGCAAACTTACACCGAAATTAGCTCGACAAATCCAGGATGCGCTTGCTTTGTGCAGTGGAAGTCTTCCCTCTTGGTGCTACCAGTTGACTAGAGCATGCCCATTTCTATTCCCGTTTCAAACCCGGAGACAGTATTTCTACTCAACTGCTTTTGGGTTGTCTCGTGCATTGAATCGTTTGCAGCAGCAGCAAGGTGCCGACGGCAGTGGGTCTACAAATGAACGAGAGATGAGAATAGGGAGATTGCAGCGCCAGAAAGTCCGTGTATCCCGAAATAGGATATTAGATTCTGCTGCGAAAGTTATGGAGATGTATTCTAGCCAGAAAGCTGTTCTTGAAGTAGAATATTTTGGTGAAGTTGGTACTGGTCTAGGCCCTACCCTTGAGTTTTACACACTTTTAAGCCATGATCTGCAAAAGGTTTCCCTAGGGATGTGGAGATCAAGTTCTGGTGACAAGGTATCTATGCAAATTGATAGAGATGAGATTGAAGATGGAAAATCATCTGCAGCTAACAGAGATATAGTTCTGGCACCACTTGGGTTGTTTCCTCGACCTTGGCCCTCAACAGCTGACATATCTGAAGGTGGTCAGTTTCATAAAGTCATTGAATATTTCCGCCTTTTAGGGCGTGTGATGGCCAAAGCGCTTCAAGATGGACGGCTATTGGACGTCCCATTGAGTACAGCGTTTTATAAACTTATTCTTGGTCAAGTGAGTTTTTTACTAGAAGTGTTTGTTTAGCTAAAAGTGAAATAGTGGTTTCTACTTTTTTACTTCTGTTGGCCTTTGGTAATAAGTTCGTCCTCTTTTCTTGACTAAGCAGGAGCTTGATTTGCATGATATTGTATTATTTGACGCTGAACTTGGCAAGACCTTGCAAGAGCTACGTGTTCTCGTTGCCCGCAAGCACTATCTGGAGGCAGTAGGTGGTGACAATAGCAGCACGGTTTCTGATTTATGTTTACGTGGATCCCGAATAGAAGATCTCTGCTTGGACTTCACGCTACCTGGCTATCCTGAGTACATTCTGAGATCAGGAGATGAAATTGTACTGTCTTAGCTTACACCCCACCTCTTACTATTCTTTTAGAACTTGTCCATGATTGCTGATGACGTGCTGTTCTGTTACAGGTTGATATCACTAATCTAGAGGAGTATATATCCCTTGTCGTTGATGCTACTGTGAAGAGAGGACTCACTCGGCAGATCGAAGCCTTCAGATCTGGATTCAATCAGGTTGACAGTCTCGCAGACTTTATGCGTTATCTCTTTCTTTGTCTATTGCCTTTGGCTTCTAAACATAATATAGAGAATTTTGTAGATTACAGACTTCCGTTTTTTCTTTTTTTAGTCTGACCTTAAACTTTTACATCCAATTGTATCCTTACAAAACCTTTCTGTTTCTGCACATAATTATCAGGTGTTTGACATAACATCTCTACAAATATTCACCCCTTCTGAGCTGGACTACTTGCTGTGTGGTCGTAGAGAGTTGTGGGAGGTGAATTTTTAACTTTTCAGTTTCCCATAACCAAGAGACTTTTGGATGTAATATAATATCATTTCTAAAACCTTCTTTTCTTGCAGGTGGAGACTCTTGCTGAACATATCAAATTTGATCACGGGTACACTGCCAAAAGTCCGGCAATCATTAACGTATGTTACTTTTCTCCATCCATCAAGTTGTTAGAAATCATATTACCTTTCCTTTTACTTCTGAAGTGTTGATTCCTTTCTGATTCTGATATTCACCCCACCCTGTAGTTGTTGGAGATCATGGGAGAACTTACAGCAGATCAGCAGAGGGCTTTCTGCCAATTTGTAACTGGAGCTCCTAGGCTTCCTCCTGGTGGCTTAGCTGTTCTGAACCCAAAGCTCACGATTGTGAGAAAGGTAAAAAAAAACCAACCTTATTACGAGTCATTTTTGTAATTTAGGCAACCGGTCCCAAGTCATGTTAAATTTTTGCCACCAAGCATATGTCACCAGGCATCTATGTGTGGGCAAGGGCTTTTGCTCATTTTTTCTAAGAGCAGACACGTATTGTGGTGTTTGTTTACATTGGCAAGAGTTATTCAGATGAATTATGTCTTACTGTCGTGAAGTTGTTAATTATTGGTTTTGCATGGGATTCTAAAATTGCTTCGCTGTGGCTGGTGCAGCACTCATCGACCTCAAGTGCAGCAGCCAACGGAGCAGGGGCTTCGGAGACAGCAGATGATGATTTGCCCAGTGTCATGACTTGCGCAAACTACCTTAAACTCCCTCCTTATTCTACAAAGGTGAGTCATGTCTCTTTTTTTATTCTTCTTGAGTCCATAATAGTGTGGGTGAGCCTGAGGAGTTTGTATGTTATTGAAACAGGAAATAATGTACAAGAAACTGCTCTACGCCATCAACGAAGGGCAAGGATCGTTCGACCTCTCATAAGCAACAGATGGCTCTGTTTCCTTCCCCCCTCCTTGTACATTACATCGGAAGACTGGTTTTGATTTCTCTGCTTTTCTGGGTTTTTATGATCTGACAAAGCCGAAGATACCCCAAAATCCAGGTGCTGCTGTTGTTCTCCAGGAGACTTTGTAATGGAGGGGATATAGGGTTTGTGACTTGTGATGTAAATTTTGTCTTTGCAGGCTCTGCAGAAGGCGCCGCCATTATTGTGTAGATAAAGAAAGATGATAGGCTTATCTTTTTTTCCTTCTTTTTTTTTTTTACTTTCTTCGTTTTTTAGATTCCCCCTATGTAAAAGATCGATCATTTCATTTGGTCGGTCGAAACTATGGAAACTCAAGTTCGATCCGTATAAGAAAACTAGAATATGGTCGGCACTTTGAATATGTTTAACTATGAGTTACATAAAGTTTAGCTTCATTTATATAAGCTCTCTCATTATATCACATAAAAAGTTGTGAAAAGACTGGAATAACATTTTTCTTGTTAATATCTATTTGTGAAATAATTTAATACTAAGAAAGAAATTATGATATTGCAGAATTGTGTTTATGAAATTTCGTTTATTCATCAGAGGCCTACCTAATGTATCTAATCTATCTATCACAGCAGAGTTGACTGTGAGATGTTAAAGGAAACAATTGTACCCAAAGCTCTTAAAAGTCTTCTTCGTTTGAGTGGAGTATTCAACTTGTTGGTTTGGTTTTGGCGTTAAGCAAACACAAAAGCCGCAATTAAGTTCACCAATCTTTCTTCTCCTGAAGAAGCTTTGACTTCTTCCACGCACCAACAGAAAGGCTAATGCTTGGAAGCGACAACAAATGATCAGCAAAAAACACAAAAGTTATGTAATAGCTAACCACAACACTGCAGAAACTCACGATTAAAAGTGACTGAGAATTCTACAAGTTTCCATCTGGCGAAAAAGACTCTATCTACCAAATCAATTTCTCAAGAAAACATCATCAAGGTTTAAAAATCTGAGCCTGAAAAAGATAAAACAACAGGTAAGGTTGCAAAATGTGCCTGTGATCATGCCAAAACAAAATGGACAAAAGCTTAGAGTTTGTTACGCTCTTCCCTTCTCAATGCAATCACCACTCTCTTCAAGATGACTTCAACAGGCTGGTGGGCATTCTCCAACGCTTTGGATATGGCTTGCCACTTCTCACCGTGCTTTGGCTCAGACGCCACACATTTGGTCAGCACCTCCTTCTGCTTCTCTTCAGAGCCATGTTCAAGTTCAAATTTGTAGTACAAGGCCCAGAAATCTCCATTATCTGGGTCGAGGGTCACAGTCTGTTCAAACAACAATCTGGCTTTATTCACCTTCCTATCTTTCCAGAAGATCTTGGCGACAGTTGCTGTGACATGCGCCTCCTCCTTCTTCACGCACTTCTTTAGAGCATCATCAATCTTCGTTTGCGGGAGCGGACATGGCCCTGCCATCTCGATGTCAGCAGCCAAGAGAATACCACTTTTGGGAGACTCTTGCAGGGCCTTTGACATCAAGCGCTCTGCTTCTATATTGTTGCCATGTCTAATTTCAGCACGAACAGCAGCTAGCCATAGCTTATCCGCCTTAGGGTTTTTCTTCCTGGCCAGAGTGAGAACCGCACGAGCTTTGTTGAGCCCATTCACTTTCTCTTCAAGATCAGCGAGCGAGACCCACATTGGTGTGCACTCGGGACAGTGCTTCAAACCAGATGTGTAAGCGTTCTTGGCCTGGTCCAGATGCCTAAACCTTTCCCCAAGCTGCCCAAGCATCAACCAAAGCTTGAAGAATGCTGGGAATTTCTTCACGCCTTCTTCAAGCAATCTCCTCTCCTCATCTACGTTGCCTAGTTCCCTCTCAACAATGGCTGATTTCATCCACACCCTCCCAGTAGTTCCTCTTTCCCTTGCTTTTGCGAGAGTCATCCTCGCCCTCTCCACCTCCCTGCTCTCAAACTCTAGCTTAAAAGCAGCAAGCCAGATTTCCTCGGAGTTTGGAATTGCGGCATGAGCCTCTTGTAGAATGCCACGGGCAGCTGGAACATCTCCAGCAAGCCACTTCTCCTTGGCACACATGAGCCAGAGAACCTCAGCCTGAGGGAGGTATGTCACAGCCTTACGCAACACGGCATCAAGGGACTCCATACTACCATGACTCTTCTCTAACTGCACCGCTTTAAGCCAGATACTTTTCTTAGTAAAGAACACGGTAAGAGCATGTGCGTATATTGCTCTTGCAGTCTCGATGGAACCCCTCTTCTTGCACTCCTCTGCATCAGCAACCCATGCTCTCTTTCTATCCTCTTCATCGACTTCAAAACCAATAATGATCTTAATAATTGCTTGGCAGGTTGTTACATACCCGGCTCTCTCAGAGACCTCAGCCTCCTCCATCCACTTTTCCCGGTCAATGACAACCCCTTCTCTCTGCAGAGCATTTATACCCTTCTCAATGATCTTTCCAACCTTAGCAGTGTTCCCATTATCTTCCTCTAGCTTAGCAGCGGTGATCCAAATCCCCCGTTCCTTGGGGAGCTTCTCTCTCGCTCTGTTCAACACTTTCTTTGTGTTTTCGTATGTTTCAAGCCTCGCAAGCGCCATCCATAGCTCTGGATGCAAAGGGCAGCATTCCACAGCTCTGTGAAGCAGAACCAATGCATCTTCCTTAGTAGCCATGTCCACAACAGTCTTCCATAGCCTGACCGAGTCTGGAATATGCTCTAGTCCTTTTCTCAACACCCTACTCTTGTTATCCTCATTATTTTCCAACTTTGCAGCCTCCAACCATAGCTTCACCGAGTTGGGTATTTGCTTAACTCCCATTGCAATCACCGCCTTGGCATCCTCTGGTGTGGCCAGCCTACAAGCCTCAACCCAAACATCCTCATGTTTTGGGCACTCATTGCATCCCTTCTGAATCTGAGTTCTAGCGGCTTTTATCTTACCAGCCCTCTCCTCGAGTCTCGCAGCAGCAATCCAGCCATTGGGATTCTTGGGATTTGACTGTGTAATACTCTTTAATAAGGGTCTAGCTCTATTAATATGAAAAATGTCTGCATCATTGGTGAGTTCCATATTCTTCAGGTCAGTTAAGTAGCCTTTAGGATCCACAACAGTTTGCCCTGAAAGAGAATCTGATAACCTATCAAGCTTCAGAGACAACATCAAACCTCTTCCCTCACCGACTGAAGTCAAGTCTGTCCATGGAGTCTCCGATCCACCAGCGGCTCTGCTATTTGGGTCTAAGGCCGTGACGATCCCTTTTTCCTGCAAAAGCGTGTCAGGAACAGGCACAAAGCTCTCAAACCTCTTCTTCTTGCTCCGATGCGAGTAATTCCCAATCTCTGGAATACTATCCCATTCCTCCTCAGACAAAGTATGCAACTTTCTCTTCAAATCCACAAACTGCTCAGAAACTTTAGGGTTGGAGGCTCTGTAATTCTCTATTTCTTGCTTGAGCTTCGCTTCAATTCTGTCTTTCCTCCCCGAATCCATCTTCCTATCAATGGCGTCCCAAAAGGCATCAGCCTCTTTGTCTCCGTTATCACACTCGGCATTAGCGAACAATCCCGCATCATTCCCTTCAAAGTCATCAAACTTGTGATTCACGTCAGCTTCTACATCGCCATCAGCACGAGCAGGACCAATATCGGAGCGGGTAGTAAACCCTGTAGCCCCACGACCCAAACCAGCGACATAGTGAGGCGGAGCCGCTCCACCGATTAGAGGGACATGAACAAGTACCGTAGACAAAGGGCCAAAACCTAGATCCGATAACAGGGCAGAATCGGGATCAAGACTAGGGCTTCGGAGACAGAGCGAGTAACGAAGGAGAGGTTGAGGAAGATGAGTGCGTTGATGGACCAATTGTTCGAAGGCGGAGATGGTGGTTGCACTAGGGTTCACATTAATCGACATGGTCTTCACGTTTGGAATCGAGAGGAACACCATCTTCGATTCGTTGATTTGCTTACGAGATCAAACGAAACCCTAACTCACGATCCTTGAGCTTAATATAGAGACCAAAGAAATCAAAGCAAAACAAGGAATCCTAAGAGTAAAAGGAATTAGCAAAACAAACTATAATGGGTAAAATCATTCTCTTCGCAAGCTATATATAATTCCATTAATTAATTGCACAAAACAAAAACCACATGCTATAAATTACTAAATAATTCTTTCTAATAATAAAATTAACCAAAAAAGATGATTACATATCTTGATTTTTCTTCTCCGTATCCTTCACATCTTTGTTCTCTTCCTCTTCGTCGTCTTCGTAATCTTCCTCTTCCTCTTCGTCATTATCTTCTTTCTTCTTCTTCTCATCATCTTGATTTCCTTCTTTCTTCTCACACTTGACCTGCACTGCCAATGTCTTCACAATCTCCGGACACCCTTTGTCCCCAAAAGTCTCTCTCGCTACTACTATCGAACAATGATTCTTCCCCAAACACTCCTGTTCCATAAATTAACACAAAATCTATCAACTATATATACAAATAACTCATTATATATATAACTAAGATTCTTCAATGATCACACATTTACCTTCTCCACAACCTCCTTTGACTTAGATGCAGAGCACTTCCCTATTGTGAAGTTCCCACAAGTTCCTGTCGGATCTCCGAAGCTTGCAAATTCTACCGCCACCATTTGTTTCTCCGGTGGAGACTTCATCACTGCCTTTAGCCTCATATCTTTGCTTCTCGAAGCTATCTTTGGCCCTTCTCTCTTCCACGATTTCACCGATACTGGGTAATCCTCCCCGGCATAACTACAGATTGTGTCTCTATTCACCAACACGAAGTCAATGGCCTCTAACTTCACCCCTGGTTCTTCCTCTAGAATCACCAACATGTTCTTCTTCTTCTCCTCCTTCATGAAAGATCTTGGTATATGGTACCTGTCCACCATATATAGATGGGTTTAGCCTCAAATCAGTTTCTTGTCCTGCAAGTCATATTTCTAAAAACCTACTCCGTTTGAGTTGGCTCTCCGAGTGGAGAAAGGAAAGACATCCAGTATCTCCCTACGCCAATTCCATTAACCCAAATCAATCCCTTTCCCATTCCTTTCATCCTAATGGCGGCCGCGTTCTCTCCCTCTGGTGTCTCAAAGTAGGTCTGAGAATCCATTTATTAAGACAAATGTGTAAACATCACAAGAAACGTTTTATTGAGTTATATGTTTACCTTATACCACGTAAGAGGCTTACGTTCACCATCTTTCTCCCATTTCACCTTCTTAGATCCTTCCTCTGTGTACACCTCTTTCTTTTCACCTTCCAAACCGGCCTGCATTAACCGGATTAATCTTCATTATATCACAAACCAAGAAATAAAAATGGTCTATTATATTATATTGGTCACATGCATATCATTACCAAATGTCCCCATTCATTGTTCTCGGTCAAATCTCGTGTTCCTGACTTTAAACCGATGATTGAAACACCACGTGGACCGGCATACCTGTGTTCCATGTATGATCCACTGTCCTGAAAGATTATAACTAATTTATACTTTGTTTGGTGTGACATATATAATTTCGATCTTGATTGTTTCTAACTCACTGGTAATCCGGTTAGTACACCCAAAATTGAAATGCGATTATCTCCGGTTTTTAAGTTAACTGGTTTTGCAAACACGAAACTCTTCATTTCATGGCTTCCATGCGCATTACCTACACCAACAAAAAAAAATAGCAAACAGAAAGTTACATAGAACTGTTTCACTATGTGTCTTACATCCCCTTAAATGACTGTTTAAGTACCTGCGTATTCTCCATTAACGTAAACGATCAATGCGTGACCAAGACTCGCTACTCTCAGTATCTTCTTCTGACCTTTTTGGTCTGGTAAGTCATCATCTTCAATCTTTATGCTGCAGCCATGGAATCAACTCACAAATTAAATCTCTCTATAAAGCTTAAAAGACCAAAAAAGGAAATGTTGCTTGTGAAGGAAGTTACCTTGTGGTATACCAAGCATAATCTGTTTTGTCCTTAGTTAAGTAATAAAGCTCCCCCGGAATCAAGGAATCACAGAGTATGGAAGGAATATCTTCACTAAACATCTCAAATTTGAGACCTTTGCTTGTCTTCTCTGACTTGACAAAATTTCTCCAACTGTGTTGGGCCACAATCTGTTTCAGAACAATCAATGCAGATAAATCAAACATTATGGTTTCCCCTAAACCAAATCGAACCGGTTATTTCGGCTCACCTGTGCAGTATTGTAGACGACTGTTTTACAATCAGGTAAGATGCTGATAGAACGAGACGGTAAAACGTAATCTTGACCTTTGAATTTGATCGTATTAGATTCTCTTGTGTTATTGTTCGATAAGAAAGCCGCACATACTTTTGTCCCTGGCTGCTCGTAGTACCTAACCTGCAAAACTAGTATCGCTAAGCTCTGGTTTTCCAAAACCCGATAACGTATTATTTGGTTTAGGTAAGGTAACCTCGGTGTCGGGACCAAGTTTCTGGGCGCGAAGGTGACCCCAAAAAAGTGCCTTCTTGCACAATCTAAGTGCTCTGTGCACATGTTTCAGGTGACCGTATTTTGGTGCTTTCTCCATACCTATAAAATAACCAACAACTTGTGATTACGATCCAAAGCGGGAATGGTTTAACTTTTGGGGTCTGGATCTACCGTATTCGTCAAGTGGCGCATCGTCATAGTAACGAGTGGTAACGAAATGAGCAGACGTGCGTCCGAAGTCAGTTCCACCATGGTACTGTACAGAAACAGAGCTCAAAACATGTAAACATGATACATATAAACATGATTTAAACGTACCATGTAGTAGTTGACATGAGATCCGTTCTTAGAGAAGTATCTAGCGACTGAGAATGCAATATCTTCGACTGTTCTATGAGTTGGAGGATCCCCAAAAACTCGAAACCTATGAATAAAAGAAACCAAAATAAGATTGTAGTTTGTGTTGATGAGAGTTTGATGAGTAGAGCGTACTGAGTAGTCCAGTTCTCGGTCCATAAGGATGGCTTATCGTGTCTGTTTGGTCCCGGGAAAGTATCTCTGCAATGCCTTCCATTACAAGCATTAATAAGATTGCCAGGAGCATTGTTTTGTTTGAACATAACCCAGGGGATTCCCAGTTTCATTGACTCCACCAAATTCGCTGCCCATTTTATATATCTCTCACCATTCTCCTTGTAGGCTAGCTGAAAGCGTTGTACTCATTCTCTATCTGCCATTTATTTATGTATGCTTAGAGATTTCAATGTTTCTGCTTTCACCAGATGGATGATGAATGTGTGGTATATGTTACCTGTCCCAAGATGATGGGACCTCCTTGTGAAGCTAGAAGCTTCTCTTCTTTCATCATTCCAAGTATTTTCCTCACATATCTCTCTGTGTTCCTTGAAAGGTTCATTATTTGTACGGAAATAAACCTCTGGGACCTCACGTAGCCAGTAAGGCAACCCTCTGAAATATGAATTTAGTTAGCATCTCTTATATATATACATGAATTTGATGGTTTGAATATTTCGTACCCATGGTTCCATTCGGCTTGGATAAAGGGTCCAAGTCTGAGAGTGACATAGAGACCTTTCTCGTGGATTAGTTTGATGAATTTCACCAAGTCGAATCTCCCCTTGAAATCATACTGAACCCCCAATAAATAGATATACCAATACCATTTAAGGCAAATGATCAAATCAGCAGGAAAAAAAAAGGAATTAGTTTAAGAGAACCTAAAAGTTGATACCTTGCCTTGTTCAGGCTCGTGCACATTCCAGAAAACATAAGTTTGGATGGTGTTAAGTCCCCCAATTCTAGCTTTGTCAATGATACTGGGCCATATCTGCAACAAAAACCAGATCCATCAAGTGAAATCATCTTTTTTGATTGGGTAATAAAACAGAGTAAATCTGCTTACGTCAGGTGTGCTTCGAGGGTAATGAACAGAACCAGAGAAAAGAAGCTCTCTTTTTCCATTTATGATCAACGAAGTTCCGTCGTATGTTACTCCTTTCTTATTTTTCTCATCACTGTCATTATCATCTTCTCCTCCCCAGTGCCGTGCTTAGCTTCACAGAGGCCTTAGGCAATTTCGATTAATGTGGCCTAAAAAAATTAATTTTTATGATAGTAAATTTTTTTATATAAAATAATTAATGATAAAAATAGTTTTAAGCACAAATTTGATTTTATTTTTCTCTATAAAATCGTTGAAACTCACATATTCAAAACTTTTAATCAAATCTTTTACCATAAATAAGATAGTTAACCATTTAATCTTCCTTGTGGATTTTTATTTATTAGTTTTATGCAATTCTCAAACAAAAAGCTCTAATACATAATATTAAACTAAATACATATATCTAGTTTTTGAATAAAATGTGGCCTTCTAATACTTATTATTTTGGTGGCCTTAGGCAATTGCCTTTAATTTAATGAGGTAAGCACGGCTCTGCTCCTCCCCCATGGCTTGCCTTGGAACAGAGCGAAACTACAAGTAGAATCGCTATCAAGTGTCGTGTTCTTGACTTCATTCTAATTCTACTTGGTTTCTCATCGACCAATACTTTCACTCGTGAATATTGCAACTTGTATTATATTGTTCCCCTGTTTCAAGGATTTCCAAGGTCAAAGAGGGAAGCTCGGAATCTTTGTCTGATCAACTTTTCTCTCTATTTTAGTTTAGTGGTTCTCTTAACTACAACTTGATCCGCATTTGAAGCCTTGTTCACAATTGCAAACCATAGATGAAATTAATTTGGACAGAGATAATTTATCAACATTATTAGTCTTTGGAAGAAAAGAAAAACAAATATTACAATCATAAAGAGTGTGAGGAATACAGAGAATAACAAGGCACTAAAAGCAAAACAAGAAACCTACCATTATGGTATTAATATACAAAACAAGACAGACAATATTAATCCATAACAAATTTGAAACAGTCATCACATGACCACACAAGCCGCCGGGTTCTCGTCGCTAAATGCAGTAGTGTAGCGGACCTCAGTGGAGCTAGCACGAGCCAGCTGCGACACTCCAGGGTCATCGGCTCTTCGGACATAACCGGAGGGTGCCTTCTTGTCGTAGACACCGGCAGCGTAAGGATGAGCGACCACGTCGTAGGGAACATATGGCCAGAGCTCGACTTTCTTGCCGGTCCTGTGAGCCATTCGAGCCACCACCTTGTTGGGATCGACGTAGCCGACCACAGTGACTTTTGAGGCTTTGGGCTCCAACGTCACAGAAGACACACCCTTCATGCCTTCCACAGAACGCCGCACTTTCCGCTCGCAACCTTCGCAGTCCATTTTCACTTTGATCTCCACCGTCTATCCTCATCAAACCAGTCGACACAAAACGACAAAAATTAACCTACTTTAAAAATATCTAAGCAGAACAATAAATGTGATGAGAGACTTTAGGTAGTCATCATTAGTGAGTAAATTAAATTCACGTGGTTTCCCCGGAAATTAATGATTTTTCTATATTTGTAAATTCTGACAGCGAACAGAATACAAATCCCGGTGTGTAAAATCTAACAGATGGCTGTATCAACTTGTTTTTCAGATTAAAAGAATCTATTTGGTCGGCGTTAGGAACATTATTAATTAACTCAAAACAAACACCGCATCAAATTAAAATTTCACTTAAATCATGTAACAGTTGAATATACTTCAGATACCAAAAGTGGAAGAGAAAACGGAGAAAAAAAAAAAAGGATCTCCTGGTAAGAAAGCACACAAAACAAGTCAAAAGCATGAAAAACCTCTCTATTTATGGAACTAATATACGAGATCTACTATGTAACAACACTCAAACTTTCCTTGTAGTCATCGAATATAGTTTCTACTAGACCAATCTAGATTTGAACTAATTTTGTGTGTGTGTGTGTTTTTTTTTGTTTGAAAATCAAGATCTAAAATATCATCTGAATCTGCTAAGATAACAAAAGAAAGAAGAAAGTGTACCTGCAACTGTTTGCGCTTTTTAATTTTGTGACCATGAGAGCAGTCAAACATTTCAGAGACATGATCAAGAACACCCATTTCTTCTTCTTTTTATTCCCAAAAAAAAAGAAAAACCTAGGAGAGTTAAAAACTTTCTTAAGGAGGAGGAGAGAGTAGAGTAAAGTAGAGAGAGCACACAGTTAAATCTGAAAATAAGAGGCCAAAAAGGAAAGTGGAGGTGTAAAGAAGTAAATGATGAATTGGGAGAATATATATACAGTATAAAAATTATAAAGAAGTAATAAATAATATCTAATTGAAGTGAATGATGATGGGTCAGGTCACCTTTCTCTTCTGGCCCCAGCAGTTTCCTAGTCGCCGTCTCGATTCTTCTCTTCTTGCTAACAACGGTTTCCCTATTTCTTGTTTTTTTCCTTTTTCGGATTGGCTTAAAACATTTCTTGATTCCATGAAGGAAAAAAGAAAAAGAAGTTGTAATTTGTAAGATAAAAAAAATTAAAAATTCTACTATGAAAGATTAAATTATATTTGATGATGACTGTCACTGAGACTGATCTTGGGACAAGAGTCGTGCGTTAGATTTTCTGCTGCTTTACATTTTTTTTTTTTTTTTTCAATAATTAAATTTTAGTAATATTTATGGAATGGGAAACAGAGGAGTTATTGCTTTTGGATAATCTCGATGATGATGGCTCGCAAAGTCACACCGACGTACGTACCGACCTTGACCAGTCTTTGTTTATTTGATTATTAAGCTTACTCCTAAAATTTTGGGCTAGGCTTTCTAATGGATCTTTCTAAGGCCTACTTGTTTACCATTTTTTTTTTTTTAATTTTGGCAATAATTAATTTCACAAAATGTTAAAAGGGGCGAAACTGAATTGAGAATAATAAACGAAAAAACGTTTTGCTTGAGAGAAGAAGAGGCGAATCTGATTCTTCTTTGTGAGCTTCCAACAACAAGTCTCTGCAGCGGATCCCTTGTTCGCAATTTCTCTTAATATTGAGAAAGTTGTTTTTTTTTAATTGTTCAGTTGAGATTTGATCTTTCCAGTTGCGTCTGAAAATCGATTGACCTACTTGGTGTGTGTGTTTACCGGATTTGGGGTTCCTCTCTGTACGCATTTTCCCAGAAAGTTTCTTCCTTTTTTTTCTTTCTAATCTCGTGTAGGTGTAGGAACAGATTGCCAAAGTGAACTCTGTCTCCCTGTCTCTCCCTCTCTCTTATGGCTAAGCAGAGACCGGCGACGCTCTCAGTCTACCTCTACATTCCCAATATCGTTGGTCGGTTTTTTGCTACTTCCTTTCCTTTCTTTTGTGTGTGTGTGTTTTTTTTAAACCATATAAGATTAGTGTTGTTATTACATGCAAAATGGCAGGGTACATGAGAGTTCTCTTGAACTGCATTGCCTTCTCTGTGTGCTTCTCCAACAAGACACTCTTCTCGCTCTTGTACTTTTTTAGGTGCCTTCATTCCCTACCTCATCTTCTTCTCCTTTCTTCATCTTATGCTAGTCTGTCTTTAACCAATGTGGTTTTCCAGTTTTTGTTGTGATGCTGTCGATGGATGGTGCGCTCGTAAATTCAACCAAGGTTCTCTTTTTATCTTGGCTTCGACCAACTCATTATTGTTTATGGTTCCTCTACTTTGATCAAGACTATGAAACTTCAACCACGGTTTTTGTTGTTCTACAACTCTTTTCTTCTTCTCCTTTCAGTCTCTACATTTGGAGCTGTTCTCGACATGGTTACAGATAGGTCAATCTTCCCCTACATATACACCAGAGAGTCCATCTGCTTTTTCTTTTTAACTTAATAACACTTTTTTCATAATTTGGGGTCTGCTCATTGTTACAGAGTCAGCACTGCCTGTCTTCTCGTGATCCTCTCCCAGATATACAGGTGTCAACTTCTTTGTACTGACATCTCCCTTGATGGACGTGTCTCATTTTATACTTAAATCTATTTAGTCTTGGACTTTCACACTTATAAACAGGCCTAGCTTGGTTTTCCTGTCATTGCTCGCTCTAGATATCGCTAGTCACTGGCTCCAAATGTACAGGTACTCTTTGTTGCAACATAAACTCTTCATTCAACTTCTCAGAATTATTGTTCTTGGACTACCAGGGATTTAATACTTGATTCACAGTACATTTCTATCAGGGAAGGCCAGCCACAAGGATGTCAAAGATAGCACGAACTGGCTCTTTAGACTCTACTATGGAAACCGGATGTTCATGGGTTATTGCTGTGTTTCCTGCGAGGTTATTGGCTCATTTTTCTCTGAGCTCATTAACTTTTTCGATGCATTTCTATTGGGAGATATGGTAAACACAGTTTTCTCAAATGACTACAGGTTCTCTATATCATCCTTCTTCTCATAGCAAAGAACCAAACCGAAAACTTGATGAACGTGAGCTTCTCTTCTATTCTCTTTCCCTTTCATCTCTTTAGCTTTTTGCTCTAATATTCAGGGTTCCAAATGTTTTCAAACTTCAGGTGGTAGTGAAATCATTGATGCAGATTTCACCGCTCTCTTTACTCTTGGCTTTGAGCATATTTGGTTGGTCGATCAAGCAGATCATCAATGTGATTCAGGTAAGTCTGATTCACAACTATTCAATCCCTCAAATAGACTAGGCATCTCTAGTTCTTATCGGGTTTTTTTGTTCTGTGGTCGCGTGTGTCAGATGAAAACGGCTGCAGATGTTTGTGTCCTGTATGACATAGAGAAACAGCATAAGAAGCCTTGACGTTATGTGCCCATGAATCGTGTTGAACTCCTTTTGTTTCATGTTGTGTACCACACTGTACATACGGATCCATCTTGTTTAGTGGTGGATGTAGATAAAATTCTTGTCTTTGAATGCATTCACTATTTTCAGAAATTTCATGTCTTCTAAGTTCTTAAGCACATCATGTTTTGATAGCGACCATAAAACCCTATCTCTGCTAGCTAGAAAAAAACAAAACAAAAGCATAAGGTTGGTCAAAAGACGTTCTCCAACAGAGATTCCCCCTCAAACTTTTCCACCTTGGAGCTCAGAAACTCCAAGCGTTTCTCCAAACGCGCTCGCTTCATCTCCAGTTCTCCCAAACGCCCTGCCATTTCCATGACTCCTTTGCGGAAGTCCTTCGCCTTCTTCTCCTTCAATCTCACCTCCTCCTGTATCTTCTCCATTTCTTCTCTTTCAAACAGCATATCCCGCTCACACGCTTCCTTCTCCACCACCGTTGTCTCGTGTCCATCATAGTGGTTGGCCGCTTCAAGAATCTCGTTCAGGATCTCCCTGAGCCAACCAGCTCTGATTTTAACCGACTCTGCGTCTGTAACCACAGATAGCATTTCCAAGACGCGAGTCTCCTTCAATTCCTTCAGTGGCGTCGATTGGAGTTCAAGAACCACTGCGGCTAGCGATTCAAGTGAGTAAGATTTCGTGGGCAGCGACTGAAGTTTGGAACCGGACGCTATGTCACCATGCTTGTCCAGGATTTTCTGCAGAATGGCTGAGACGCTGGCTCTGACCTTGTACCTTCCTACATAGACATACGACTCTGGAATCATTGACTCCATTTCCTCCCCTGTTTCGTAGATCTTTAACCCTTTCATGCATTCGATCTCAGATAGAGTAAAGCTCTGGCTTTCGTCAGGAAGCTCTGGTGGCTCATTCGATTGTTGGTCTAGTGATTTTTGGTGAAGCATCTGCAAGAGAGATAAAAGAAAATTTCTTTTGATTATTTGAGCAACACTTCTTGATAAACAGAGAGCCATCCAAGAATGGAAAGTTATTGTTGTTGATGCTCTCTGATTCGTCCAGTTGATCAAACTCTTGATGTTTCTGCGGTACTGATTAAGATAAATGAAAGATGCTAAAGCAGAGAGAGACCAGTACCGTAATGGATCTTGATGTTGGATTTTTTCGAGGGGACAGGAGAATTTCGGGATAGAGTAGAACGCATTTGTCTTGGTCTTTAGTGTACACCGAATCCGCTTTATTACCATGATATTTGGATGCTTGAGCAGCATAGTGATAGTTAGCACCGGTGTTGAAGGATGTCGGTTGAGTTTGGGGGATCTGAGGCCGAGTTTCAACTTTCTGAGGTGATTTGAGGCCAGCACTTTCAAGGGACCTGTGTTGTACCGGCTGAGTTTGTGGGATCCTAGGCCTGGGGGGTTCAAGGTAACTTCCTTTAGGTTCTGGAGTCTTTGACCGTGGTCCTTGGTTTCTTGTCCTGTGTTCTGAAGTCCTTGGCCTAGTATCAGGACTTAAAGGCGTCTTAAGCCGAGTCTTAGATGACATTTCATCATGAATTGGAGCTTCACCTTCACGGTGATCAATCTTCACAGGGAAAGAAGAGCCAAAATAAACACCCAAAAAGATGTGCACTTAACAAAGTTTATAGCTAACACTGACTGACCGAGAATGAATGCTCACCGTTAATGCGAAAGAATCGTTTTTGCAATACACAGCAAAAGAAGGCGACATGGGGAGCCAATTGATTCCTGAGGCAGTTTCGTTCCCATGTAAAAGAGAACGTGGTGTGGGCAAGTTTGCATTGAAAGAGTCATCGGAGGAAGAGAAGGAGGGAGACTCGTCTGATTCAAGCATTCTCTTTCCGTAATAACTCGGAAGTGGCGATCTGTTTCCCGCAATAACACGAGCCGGACTGGTAGGAGGCGTTTCCTTGCTACAAGCTGGTTTACCAAAGCCTTAGACAAAAGAAAAAGTTGGACAGGTTGTTTAATCTATATAACAACTAGAATCATCTTGAAATGCAATCGAAATGAGAAACTTCTTACCAAACCGTTTCTTTTCCTTTTTGGGGACATCTCCAGAGCTTATTCTCTTGAAACACTGATCATTGCACTCATGGTAGGGATTTGCTGAGTTGGGACAATCATGATGTACTTTTCCAGACATGCCACTTCGCTCTCAGAGACTCGGAGATCTAAACTTAGAACCTGACTAAGAAAGCAGCGTCTCTCTCTGGTAAGATCCTCCACACCAAGAAAGTGGAGAAATTCTTATAAAAAAGGGAGGGTTTACGCTAACAGGGAAGAAGCAAAGAAGTTTACAAGAAAAGAAAGGAGTCAAACGTTTCAGAGGAAAAGGGAAGGAAATGAAGAGATGGATGATTATGATGGAATGAATAGGTCTGAGAACACGACACAGAATTGATTTGAAGGATTCACGAAATGAAGAAATTTCAGAAGTAAAGAACAAGTTGTTGAAGTCGAGGCTGCAAGTTTTGTTTGTTTGCAATGCAAATTATACATGCTTTAGTTTCTTTTCTTTTGTAGAGATAAGAATACTATAACAACAAGTGTTGACGAGAGTTGACCACCAAGTCAATCAAGTTATGGTCTTGAAATGCATAATTAATTTCCAAGAAGATTTATATATCTTGAAAGACACGCATGCATATTATTACAATGTATTGAGACTTGACTCTGAAACTTCTTCCTCCACTCTAAATCTTTTTAAGAATTACACTAATGGCCCCAAACTTTAAATTTATAAAAATTTCACATCAATAGAAAATAATTGAACAATGAGATCCAGAGAATGTTACAGTAGAAAGAAGTCCGTCTAAACATGGAGAAGGACGGCTTCTCCTTGAAATTTGTGGACTTTGGATTGAAAGAGGTCGAGATTCTTGTTCAATTTCGAACCTTTCATCTCCAGCTGCCCTAGCCTCCCCGCCACCACCGTCACCTTCTCTCTGCATTCTTTGATTTCCTTCTCCCTCTTCACCAGCTCCGCCGTCATCTCCTCCATCTCCCCCTTCTTCGCCGTCAGATCTCTCTCGCACACCTCTTTCTCCACCTTCGCCGTGTCGTACTGCCCGAAGTACTCCACTGCCTCCGCCAGTTCCGCCACCGCTGTCTTCAGCCACGACACGTTGATTTTCACCGACTCCATGTCTTTCACCACCGCCGCCATCTCCGCCACGCGCGTTTTCGTCAGATCCCTCAGAACCGTCTTCTTCAGCTCCATCACCACCGCGGCTAGGGATTCCAGGTAATATGACCGAGTTGCCATTGCTTGCAGCTTCGAAGAGGCGGCGATGTCTCCGTGCTTGTCGATGATCGCCTGCAGGGTTTCGGATACGCTCTGCCTCACTCTATAATTCGCGACGGATACGTAAGCCTCGGATATCATTGATTGATTCTCTTCCTTGCCGCTTTCGTAGTTCTTGAGTCCTCTCATTTTGGTAATCTCCTGCATTGTGAAGCTCTGTGACTCGTCAGGCAGCTCCGGCGGCTCGAACTGCTTGTCTTGCTCATAGGTTTCGGCTGCAACTATCTGGTAGTTGTGGTGAACCGGCTGCAGGTTAAAAGGCATTGTCATTTATTTGTTTTTTAGGGAATTTCAAATTGCAAATCAATTGTGACTGAGAGAGAGCGAGAGAGAAAGTTGGAAGAGGATTCACACCGTGCTGTTCTCTGATACGAGCCTGGAACGTAGTGGGCTACGGATTTCTGGATAGAGGTAGGTGGAGTGATTATCGTCGTCGCTGGATGAATAGTATGGTCCACGGACTGGACTCGGAGGAGCGCTGTTCCGCGGTATTACGTCACCATCTAGCTCATACATTGCCTCGAATTCCTCATTATCCTGGTGGCTTCTACCACGGTCAGGCTGCACAATTAGAGAGAGATTTCAATATATGTGACTTACTGTCAAGAGGACTTGATTGTTTTATCACTAGGAAAAAGCTGAAACAGAAACAATGAGCAAGATTTAGAGTTTTTGAGTACCGTTCTGTATGGTTGTGGTGGTGGTGAACGGCTTGCTGCTGGATGCAATGGGCTCGGTGGAGAGCTTTTCCGCTGTATTACGTCGCCATCTAGCTCATACATTGCCTCAAATTCCTCATTATCCTGGTGGTTTCTACGACTGTCAGGCTGCAAAATTAGAGAGAAATTCAGTATATGTGAATCACTGTCAAGAGGACTTTGATTTTTTTATCACTAGGAAGAAGCTGAAACAGAAACAATGGGCCAGACTTAGAGTTTTTTGAGTACCGTTCTGTATTGTTGTGGTGGTGGTGGTGAACGGTTTGCTGCTGGATGCAATGGGCTAGGTGGAGAGCTGTTTCGCGGTGTTACATCGTCATCTGGCTCATAAAAGTCCTCAATTTGCTCTTTACCATGGTTACTACGTTGATCAGACTGCAGCATAAGAAGAACGAATTCTATTGTCAGTCTAAGTGACTCACTAGAAGGAGACTTTGATTTACTTATCCCTAAAAAGAAGCTAACAGTGAGCCAGACTCGAGTTTCTGAGTACCGTTTTGTATGCTGCTGGATGAAATGGGCTCGGTGGAGAGCTGTTTCGCTGTGTAACATCACCATCTTGGTCGTACAGGTCCTCATATTGCTCTTTACCATGGTTACTACGGCGATCAGGCTGCAATTAGGGACAGAGAGTTTATGTCATCTATGTGGCTCATCGAGTACTCAAGAATCACGAGCAAGACTTACCGTTCTGTATAATGGTGGAGAGCGGCTTCCAGCTGGATGAAATGGGCTCCCCGGAGCGTTATTCTGCAGCAAAGTGTTGGCCTCAGGTTCGTACATTGCGTCGTAGTGGTCTCTATTGTGGTCTCTGCGGCGATCAGGCTGAAATCAAGCATTAAAAGCAATGCATCTGAAGCCTTTAGTGATTGAAGGGTTTGAATACGAATCAGGTCATCAGAGCTTTAGGTTATTAGTACCGTTTGGTATGGAGATGGAGAAGGGCTTCTGAATGGGTGAAATGGGCTCGCATCGCTTCGGGTATCTGCTTCATACATTCGATCCTGGTGTTCTCGACGATACTCGGTTGATCTCCCAGGACGTTCAGGCTGCAGTTATAGAGAGAACGGCATCAGGAAACAAACGGTGGAGACAAATAGAAGACTCGAAACAGAAGAAGCAAGAAAGTACCGTGCGGTTTCCAGCTGGATGATATGGGCTGGAAGGAGCGTTGGTCTCTGGCTCATAACTCATCGCGTCCATTCTGTCTCTACCGTGGTCTCGACGACGCTCGGGCTGAAATTGAGGAAAATGCAAACTCAGTATCATCTACGTATACTATGTTTGGTTGAAAGAAACAATTGATTTGGGGAATGAAAGAGGGGATCGATGAGTACCGTGCCGTATCCATACACGGGAGGCCTAGGGTGGGAGTTGGGGACGCGTTCAGAGGCAGGCTGTTTCCAGTAGGGTCTTTGTTCATCGGAGGTGGGGAAGTCGTACTCTGTTTCGGCTCTTTTGTTAGAGAGATACGATGGTGGCGGGGATCTAGCACCGGAGGGATGAGCAGGGCTGCCCGGAGTGCTCTTGCTGACAGTTTTCTTGCCAAAGAGTCCTGACGAGAAAATTGGTCAACTTGTTTGGATTTTGCTAAGTGGATGATAGTAAATAGGATCCGTTTGAGAGTTGAGAAAGTCAAGTCTTTCACTATCCCCAGCCAGAGTTAAACATTCCGGCTACAAAAAAGGGAGTTACCTGATGATCTTTTGCCATCTTTCTTAGCTTTGCTTGAAGTGAAGAAGTCCATGGTGGGTGGAGAGGCACAGGATGGGATAAACCGGATTGAGAAATGATCTGTGTTTAAACCGGAACATAAGACGGCATGCAGATTAGAACCTTGGTTGTATAGTAATATACATAAATATGTCAAGAATTCATAAAAGTGAGTACCTTGCTGCTGGAGGATCGGAGTTGCCGGAGAAGACTTTTTGGTTTTCGTTTCTTCAACGCGTCATACTTCGACTGGTTTATATATATATGGAGTCAGAGGCCCTTTTAAGTACGTGTATTATGGATATTTTAATAAAATAGAAAATGCCAATTGGAAAAGTCTATGATATAACCATTCATTTGACTTTTGACTATAAATTATTACAAACAAACAAATACCTTATGATATAATAGCAAGATTGGTCAGATCTAAATCATAACTGTTTGTATTCGTTTTTCTTTATCAAGCAAGTGGCAGCAACCATGACTTGGTCAATAGTGGCTACCTTTCTGTGGTCAAATGGGCCCATAATCAGTCACGAAATGGGCCGTAGAGGGAAGAAAAAGAAAAAGAAAGGTCCAAATATAGGAGAAATTCCTTAAAGCCCAGCCGCCCAGATGATCAAACTGGCCATCGCCGGCGACCAGGGTTGCCGCTGATGCGATTCGATCCAGTGGGAACCTTTGTCACCTTGCCTTTTCTCACTTTCCTCTTCTTTTTTTTTTGTCGCTGAATATATTAATCAAAAAGAGAACCAATAAATGTCACAAAGAATAAAACAGAGCAGACGAAAACAGAGTAAATAACCAAAGAAGAAGAAAACAGAGCCCTGCAAGATCAGAAAAACCGGACCTAAACCTTAACCACCTCAAGCTCGATCTCTCGCAATGCAATCCTGCAGCCACGATGGTCCTCCAAGCGCAAGATATGATCTCAATCTTCCATCCCTGGTAACACTACAAGCGATCTCCCTAGCTACAGAGTTAGCTTTCGGTGAAGAGAGCACAAATTTAACCTCACTTTCCTCTTCAGGTTCCTTTTCTTTTTCTTTCTGAATCCAAATTTATTTGAACTTTACTTAACATTGATACCACAAAAAAAAAAATTTGTTTGAACGAGGCTTTGTAGTTTGCATAATGTAATAAAGATAACTTCTGCTATGGTTCAATTGAAGAGCTGAGATTTCCGTAAATAGTAAACGAGCTTCTTGTTCACTACTCAACCATGCCTTGTGGCTCTTTATTAATTCTTCTGAGTTTATTATATGGAAAAAAGAAAAAAAGAGCAAATTAAAGGTGAAAACTGGTCTGCAGTTGTTTTATAGTTGATGACAAGAAGAATCACAAGCTTTAGACTTATCCCTGCTTGCTCATTGAGAATCACGGGACAAGGCTTCCGCAATCGAAATGAGACTTTTTCAGCAACATCCGTGACAGGTAAGACGACAAGAACCTGTCTCTCAACATGTTCATCCACTTCCCTCTGCTCTGCTGTATGAATCCTACTGTATATGCTGTTGTTATAAGATCAATGCTTCTCCACTTCCTTTCTCCTGCGTACTTTTTAAACCCTTCTTCTATCCTCTTATAACTCTCTTCTTCTTTATCTTCTTCTGTTTCACCTTTCAGATTCTTTGCTTTTATCGCTTCACCTAGACAACGAGCGAGGATAACTCCATCCTCCATGGCTGAACAACCCCCTTGTCCGATATCAGGAGTCATTGGGTGAAGTGCATCCCCTGCAACGCACACATTGTCTTTTGTGATGTTTGACCATAGCAGTTCCCATGGAGGTCGGTACTTCAGTCGAGACATCACCATGCTATCAAGATCAGTGGTCTCCACCACATTCTTAATGTTTTCAGGCAAGTCTTTGATCTTGTTCAGCACAAACCCTTTGAGGATTTCCGGATTTGTCTCCTCATCTAACAAGTTTGCAAGGACAAGAGTCAAAGACAATAGATGATATGATTCCACAAGAAGCTGCTTGTAGATAGATATCATATCAGGTAAAGTTGCATATATTTACCTATATCAGTGGAGGTGTGGGTTAGGAACCAGTAGACATTGTTGTGGTCACAGGGGATAAAACCGGAACGAACACCATCTCCATAAAACTGGAATAACCTTTTCCCAAATCCATGGCCTTGCGGGAAATGTGTGAGCCCTCGGATTGCTAACCGGGCAGTTGTAGCCGGATTTTTGAAGCCTAGCCACTTACCAACCACCGAGTACACTCCATCGCACCCTACCAAAACCTGCATGTCGTTTAGAAACCTTACAATTCCCTAGCAAGACCAGGCCTCACATGGTTTACAGAGGACAAGCAGTTATTACCTTGGTTTTGAGAATGGTCCCGTCGGAGAGATGAACCATCTTGTAGCGTCCAGACAGATCGATATGAACAACCTTAAACGAAAACCTTATAGCCTCTTCAGGTAACTCACCTGCTAGAGCCTCTAACAACAGCTTCCTCTGTACGCATCGAGACTCGTATTCTCTGACAAAACCACTCAACAAGATAACTAAATTTTTCTTATTTATTGTTTAACATTCATATGTTTTGTTGTGCAGAGAAGAAGAAACATACTCGGATTCTGGAAACAGCATCTCTTTGGGAGGATTTCCTGCAGAAATTGGTCCAACCACCCATCTGCATCAAGATCAAAGATGAGTTTCCTTTTTTACTGAGCTGATTATATATGAATACTAATAATAGTGTTAGTTTGCTACCCTTGAAGACGATCATGGAGACTGCGAATATGCTGAGAAACACCGAGAGCTTCCATGGCCTTCCAAGCATTGAACCAAGTGGTAAATGCAAATCCTGTCGCTCTCAGTGTCTCCGAAGATTCCAGCACCATGCTTCTGATCCCAAGCCTATGTAACAGACACACCACTTTGGTTAACTGACTCCGCTTCATAACAACTCAAAAGCTGTACACACACACACCTGTGTAGTCCAACAGCTGTGGAAAGCCCGGAGATACCGGCGCCAACGATGATGATATCTGGGGTGCCTTCTTCTTCCATGGTGCGTTGATGATCTTAGAAAGATAGTTCTGTTTTTCTTCCTCAATTGTAATTATTTATAAATAAACAAAAAAAAAAATGGGGTGGAAGATGGCAAGTCAAACAAGGCACCCTTGTTCTAGGCAGGCGGCTATAAATTATTGTCTTTTATAGTGTCACACTTGATCTATTATGTTCTAGCTAGGGACTAGGGAGGAACTAATTTTACGTTCTAAATCCTATAATCGTGGAGAAACAGATACACTGCTAATTTGGAAACAAAACGAGACGTATAAGGAGCATCCAAGGCGAAGCTGACGAGAAGCCTCGTGTTTTTGTAAGCCTTGACTTGTGGCATTATTAATCCTTTCTATTCAGAGTTTATTATATGACATAACATAAAAAAAATAGATAATCAGTCTTGAAGCAAAGGTGATAACTGGTCTGCAGTTGTTGATGACAAGAAGAGAATCACCCGCTTTTGACTTATCCTGCTTCCTCGTTGAGAATCATGGGACAAGGCTTCCGCAATCGAAATGGGACTTTTTCAGCCGCATGCGAGATAGGTAAGACAACAAGAACCTGTCTCTCAACATGCTCATCCACTTCCCTCTGCTCTGCTGTATGAATCCTACTGTATATGCCGTTGTTATCAGATCAATGCTTCTCCATTTCCTTTCTCCTGCATACTTCTTCAAACCTTCCCCAATCCTCTTATAACTCTCTTCTTCTTTATCTTCTTCTGTTTCACCTTTCAGATTCTTTGCTTTTATCGCTTCACCTAGACAACGAGCGAGGATAACTCCATCCTCCATGGCTGAACAACCCCCTTGTCCGATATCAGGAGTCATTGGGTGAAGTGCATCCCCTGCAACGCACACATTGTCTTTTGTGATGTTTGACCATAGCAGTTCCCATGGAGGTCGGTACTTCAGTCGAGACATCACCATGCTATCAAGATCAGTGGTCTCCACCACATTCTTAATGTTTTCAGGCAAGTCTTTGATCTTGTTCAGCACAAACCCTTTGAGGATTTCCGGATTTGTCTCCTCATCTAACAAGTTTGCAAGGACAAGAGTCAAAGACAATAGATGATATGATTCCACAAGAAGCTGCTTGTAGATAGATATCATATCAGGTAAAGTTGCATATATTTACCTATATCAGTGGAGGTGTGGGTTAGGAACCAGTAGACCGTGTTGTGGTCACAGGTGATAAAACCCGAACGAACACCGTCTCCATAAAACTGGAAGAACTTTTTCCCAAATCCGTGGCCTTCCGGGAAATGTGTGAGCCCTCGGATTGCTAACCGGGCAGTTGTAGCCGGATTTTTGAAGCCTAGCCACTTACCAACTACTGAGTACACTCCATCGCACCCTACCAAAACCTGAATGTCGTTTAGAAACCCTACAATTCCGTAGCAAGACCAGGCCTCACATGGTTTACAGAAAACAAGTAGTTACTAGTTACTACCTTGGTTTTGAGAATGGTCCCGTCGGAGAGATGAACCATCTTGTAGCGTCCAGACAGATCGATATGAACAACTTTAGACGAAAACCTTATGGTCTCTTCAGGCAACTCACCTGCTAGAGCCTCTAACAACAGTTTCCTATGTATGCATCGAGACTCATATTCTCTGACAAAACCATTCAACAAGATAACTAAAATTTTCTTTTATATGCTTTGTGCAGAGAAGAAGAAACATACTCGGATTCTGGAAACAACATCTCTTTAGAAGGATTTCCTGCAGAAATTGGTCCAACCACCCATCTGCATCAAGATCAAATATGATGAGTTCTCTAGTATACAGAGCTGATTAAGAATAGTAATAATAGTGTTAGTTTGATACCCTTGAAGGCGATCATGGAGACTGCGAATATGTTGAGCAACGTCGAGAGCTTCCATGGCCTTCCAAGCATTGAAATAAGTCGTAAGAGCAAACCCTGTCGCTCTCAGTTTCTCTGAAGATTCCAGCACCATGCTTCTGATCCCAAGCCTGTGACACAGACACACACACCACTTTTGTTAACTTACTCTGCTTCATAACAACTCAAAAGGCGTACATACACACACTCACACCTGTGTAGTCCAACAGCGGTGGAAAGCCCGGAGATTCCGGCGCCAACGATGATGATGCCTGGGGTGCCTTCTTCTTCCATGGTGCGTTGATGATCTAGAAAGAAAACTCTGTTTTTTCTTTCTCACTTATATATATATTTTTAAGTAAACCAAAAAATGCAGTGGAAAATGGCAAGTCAGACACGGCACCCTGTTCTAGGCAAGCGGCAACAGTAATCAAATATCGAATCTTTTATAGTATTTTTTAAGCAGTTATTTATATATTGTCACAAGCTAGTAAATAATTTTACATTCTAAATATAGAAACTTGCAAACAGAGATACACACACTGTGGCTTATTTGGAAAGAAAACGAGTTTCAACGAAACGTATAAGGAGGATCCAAGGCGAAGCTGACGAGAAGCCTCGTGTTTTTGTAAGCCTTGCCTGCTCGATCGTGAAGCCGGACAGCTCTGACTCCGGACTTCAGTTCCGGTAGAGGAAGACATGTCTGTCCTGCGAAATCATTCTGGGTGTCATTGTCGTAGTCTTGGACCTTGAACCACAGAAGCGCCAGTTCTGGAACACACAGCTGAAACAGGAACTCGTCGTTGCTCCATATAGGAAACCACTGATCGACAGCTGTTTCCGTTCTGTATGAGACCGTGTCTCTCGGAACTCCTGCTATTCCAATCTGATGCAAATGCAACACACACATTATTACGAAGATATCTAGTTTAAAACTACTAGTACGTAGTTGTTTACCTTTACGAAGAAATCTGGAGGAGAGTATTGATCAAAGTGTGTCTGATGGAAATCCAAATCCCATCCTTCGCCTGTGTAAATCTTCACCTTGAGAGTGGTCTTGATGGGAAGCCTTTTGCAAGGGTCGAAGAGTGTGTGCTCGTCTAGCAAGATGCGAGGCTTTTTAACGTACCCACATCCACCATTCGCCCTGAACATTCCTTGCATTATCCATAGTTGCTTCCCATGTCCCTTTTCAAGACAAATTTTTCAACCATTTTTATATATCGATTTTACTTACTTAAACGATGATGAGCCACTACCACTTACTTGCATGTTAAAAGCAACCATTTGAGCACCGTGTGTCCACCCAACATGGGGATCGTAGTTTGACGAGTCCACTCTTGTACCCTTTGGATATATCCTCACCAGATTCCTCTGTGTAAACCTGATTTTTTTTTATTTTTTTTTAAATGTAACTCTCAGCCAAAAAGGTTCAACATTTTGACTCATCTCACTGTATATTTTACCTGACAAGATCCGTTCCTCTGGTCCTAACCATTGTCTCTAGCCACTGCTCGTCCATGCTAACCCTTCGAGGCTTCTCTGGATCATCACTCAAGCAATCCTTCAAAGGATCTTTGCAGTTTGCAGCGTGGATCGCGATCAAGTCTCTATATCCTCCTACAGCTTCACTCTCCAATTCTCCTTCTTCTTCAAGAATCTTGTTTTCTCCTTTCCGTGCCATATTAGTACTCTGTTACAGCATATTAAATCTATGAATGTTTGCAAAATCATTCCCACTAGGAGGCGTTAAATCACTTCTTCTTACACTCGCTACTCTGCTCCACGAAGTCTCTTTAACCATTGGAGTTCTTGTTGTCTGTACAGTTTTGCTTTCAAGATACTCCTTTGGAGGCTTCGTAGAGATGAGAATCTTCTTCTTAAGTTCTTCTGGTGATGGAAAATGCTTCCAACTCTCTGAGCCACAACGAAACAGCATCCCTCTGAATGTTTTAGTTAACATCTACAAACATAGAATCAATTAAACTTCATTCTTTTTCAGGTTAGGTAGGAAATATATACTCTGTTACCATCTCACCTTAGCAACTTGCGCTTGAAGATTGGGTGGCAAATGATCTTCGAGAGTGATCATGACTGGATAGTCAGACACGTAAAACGCGTTATCCTTGATGGCGGTCAGACATTTCTGCAGATCTTCATGCGATGTAAGTGTCCTGATGAGAGAACCAAGACATATATCGTACGTGTAAGATCTTTTTGGAGTATGTTTGTTGATTAGAAGAGTTGGTTGGTGGGACCAACCTGCCATGACGAACTTCAGCAGCGTTCCCTGAAGGATTAGGCCATAAGTCGAGCTCGATCACCTTTACGCCTTTTCTGAGAGCCTGCACTATCGGTTCCACGCTGCTTCTGCTGTTCACTTGATTCCCAGTCAAGTAAGAGTTGTGTCCCGTGTACACAAAGTAATGCGATAACGGCGCCTTCATGTCATGATGCACCTTAACCCAATCATATATACCCAATTACAAAACCATTTTGTGAAGAAAAAAATCCATAAAAATTTTCCAACTTATATACCTGGGCAGGCATGGGAAGAGGAGAGTTGGTATCGCTGAAGAGGTACCGATAGAAGGCGTTGAGATGAACAAGTCCATGGTGATGAAAAATGTTGTGGTGTTTAACGCTGTGGAAGATATCCTGCACGTAGTCGTCCAACCCTGCGTGCCGCTCTCCTTGAACTTCACTCACAAATCTAAGAAGCTCATCGAAAGACATCTTGCCGTTTCTTGAGTAAGCTTCGAAGAGTCTCTTGATGCTCACTGGTGGTTCCCTCGTTTTCTCCTTGAAGCTTCTGCTACAACAGAAGCACACTTTGAAACTCTCCGACATTCTTCTTCGTCTTCTTACTTGTTAGTTCTGAGAGCATATATTACACACACACATAGTTAGCGTATATGATATGTATAAGTAAAAGTGATGAAGAATATATGCTCGTGTTATCATCTCAAGGAACGTGTCTCGCTATTCCAATTAATTAATTATTCTTATTTTTAAAGTAATTAAACTTGTTTATCTATGGCTATAAAAACCTTATAAAAGATTTAAATACACTTATGCATGGGTCCGAGGAAAACATAAAGGATCAATTAAACACGTTGTCACGTCTTTTCTAATGGGGATATATACTGGCTTTTTGAGGTGCAAATAAAAGAGACCACTTTGAGCAGCATCAAATCTTCTATTATTTTTGTGAGATTAAAATTTCCAAACAAAGCATCAACTAGCCGTTATATATATATATAAGAAAATATAATTCATTTTGAGTGATATTCATTGGATGTTATTGTAGCCATGTTTGGAATTTGGATACTGGGTTTTCAAAGCATAAGGAATATCTTTGTCGGTCTTTCGCGCATGAGTCATATATATGTGATAATGTGAAATAGGTTCAGTGCGATTAGCCTTCTCACAACGTAACACGCTATCAGTCTTACAAATTTTTATTTTTTATTAAAAAAAAAAAACTTGATATATTTGTTAAAGTTTACAATAGTATAAATTTTACTATGAAAAATTCTAGCTTAGTAGTTGCACGATTTTACGATCTTTTAAAAAGGTTATATATTTGTGTGAACTAAATGTGAATGTTTATAGAAATGTACATATTATATAAGTGAAGGTATTGGGAGATGATTGGATAATGAAGTTGGTCCTGAAGTGAAAGGTTGAGAGTGGTTGGATTTTTGTGTGATTGATGGAAGCTATGTTCTGTAAGTAGGGACCTTCTCCACAGTCCCACACCACCCTTTTCTCTATTTTTAGGTCTCCCTTATTATTATTATTGTTACTTTTGGATCTTTATAAATCAAGTTCTGGTTATGTAAGTTCACATATATTGACACTCGGCGAGTTACCATGGAGCATGATGGAAAGTATATACATTTGTTGGGGAAAAAAGGAAGAAAAATATATCGCATATATCCATGTTTTAGAAACAAGCTTTTAGTTTCTCACTTAATTAATAGTAGTTTTGTTTTCATTTTTGAGCTGAAAATATAATAGTTGCTTCTTCTATTATTGGTACTACAAAAGTATAAATAACTACAAAGAGTCGATGGGGAGAAAGGGCCAAATTTAGTGGTACATACATTAATATAAAATTAAATAATGTTAGGTAAAGTGACATATCTCACTTTATCCCAATCACTTTCGATTCGGGTCCAATTTTTTTTTTATATAAAAATATTCAATTTTTCATTCTTCAAGCCCAAGCCTCTCCTCTATTTTTCATTTTATTTTTAATCTCAGGGTCTTGGACCACCACTTTTATGGGCATTAAACGTTTGATACAAATTGTGTGGGGAAATTTTTTTTGAAAGATTTATATATTATTTCTAGACTCTACATGTATTTTTTTTTTTAATTAGCCATTCTCATGTATCACCAGCATTCACCACATCACCAAATGTAAATGGAGATAGGCAAAGCCCGCGGCCAAATAATCGTTTACCGGCAATCTAAACCGTATAATTTTTATCTTCTTTGATTTGTCTTAGTAGAAGAAACGTAGAAGAAAATTCATCCATTTGACCCCCAATTCGTGAAAATGTCTAAACGAAAAGAGTTGAAGAATTTTAAAATCAAGAGGAGACTTGAATTATTATTATGTCAATAATAATATCAACTCTTTTATTTTCTTCCCTAAAAAAAATGATCTCTTATTCTTTCTCACTGTTTGGTTTGTCCATAGAATGAGGCAAAAAAGGACGAGAGGGAAGTGGAGCCCAAAAAGCTGGGACCTTTGATGTGCTGGCTCCGACCTCGCCATCGTTGGTCTTTTATGGGTCTTGTCTGTCTGGTAAGAATCACTCTTCACTCTTTGAGAGAGAGAGATAGATTGAGAGAAGATAAATAAAAAAGGGAAAACAACTCCAACTCCAACTTTCTTTCTTTTTTTTACACAAAAACGTCAAAGGAGGGAGGATTTGTGAAATAAAAAAAAAGAAGGAAGATGTCTCGTTCGGCGACTTGACCTCTATTATCTCTCTCTCTCTCTTTTACTTCATTGTTCACTGTTTCCAGTCGTAGAAAGAAAGATCATAAGTTGTGAGGGCAGAACAATTTTGTCAATCTTTTTTTCCTTCTTTTCATTTCTTTAAGAAAAAAAAACTTTTTATTTTGTCAATCGGTCTTCTTCTTCTTCTTCTTCTTCTTCCTCATCCGCTCGCTTATTTTTCTTTATTTTAATAATAATAAAAATCGGTGTTTTATATAATTTCTTCTGGTTGATTGATCCATCCGTAGTAGATCTACAAACTCAGAAATTCCACGCCCACATCTTGAATCTTGATTCTTTCTCTTCATTCTTTCTCTTGCTCAACTAGAGAGTAGATTCCCCATCTTGCAAGGTAAAGTTTCCTTTTTTTTTTCTTTTTGGTTCTTTGGTAGCGAATACGAAGCAGTTCGAATCTACTGCATAATAATCCTTTTGAGTTTTCTTTCGGGATCGTTGGACTTTTTGTGTACTGTTTCTTGCTTGCCTGACAAAACCCCACATCACTAATTTTGCTTTCTTCCGATAGTTTCTTTACTTATAAAGATGATAACTTTTCAATGTTGCATCGAACTTCTTAGATTGTTCAATCACTGGACTCACTAATCCCCTGGTGATTCATATTCTGTTGCCATTCATTACTTGGACAGTAGCAATTGAGATTTCTCACTTTTTGTCTTTGACTACACTGCAGTGTTCATTCAGTTCTTCAAGTCTTCTTTAAGCTTTGAAGAAATTAATACAGCTTTTGGCATTGGAGATTTCAGAAAGCTGCGTGATCTGTATCTAAAAAACTGACAAGTTCTATGTTGTGGTGGGAGATTCGGATGAGATGAGGGATGCTATCTGGGTTGATGAATTTTCTGAATGCCTGTCTCTGGCCACGGTCAGATCACCAGGCACGTTCAGCCTCAGACTCTGGCGGCCGCCAAGAGGGTTTGCTCTGGTATAGAGACTCCGGTCAGCACGTCTTTGGTGACTTCTCCATGGCCGTCGTTCAAGCCAACAGCTTGCTCGAGGACCAGAGCCAGCTCGAGTCTGGCTCTCTTAGCTCCCACGACTCTGGTCCCTGTGGCACCTTTGTTGGCGTCTACGACGGCCACGGTGGCCCTGAGACATCTCGCTTCATCAATGATCATATGTTCCACCACCTCAAGAGTGAGTCCCTCTGCTCTCTCAACCTATATATGCTTTTTTAACTCTTGTTTCGATTAGGTAGTCTAAGGCTTCACTTAGAAAGGAAATAAAGCATTTCTCCTCTACTAGCACTAGTCCAGAAAATGGTTTTAGCTTTGATCTCATCTTTGTCTTCTGTGCACAGGGTTTACTGCAGAGCAACAGTGTATGTCATCAGAGGTGATTAAAAAAGCGTTCCAAGCGACTGAAGAAGGGTTCTTATCCATAGTTACAAATCAATTTCAAACTAGACCTCAGATAGCCACTGTGGGGTCATGCTGTCTTGTAAGTGTCATCTGCGATGGGAAGCTCTACGTGGCCAACGCAGGGGACTCACGGGCTGTGCTGGGACAAGTCATGAGGGTAACCGGTGAAGCTCATGCCACTCAGCTCTCAGCCGAGCACAACGCATCTATTGAGTCAGTGAGACGGGAACTTCAAGCCCTGCATCCGGATCATCCGGATATTGTGGTTCTGAAACATAACGTCTGGCGAGTAAAAGGCATCATTCAGGTATTCTAATATAACCCTAGTTGGAAAAAATCTGTTTGTATGTCTTACAATTCCTGTTTTCTTTCTGAGTGGCTTTATGGTTTTGAGTATTCTCAGGTTTCAAGATCCATTGGTGATGTGTATTTGAAACGGTCAGAGTTCAACAGGGAACCGCTGTATGCAAAATTCAGGCTCAGGTCACCGTTCAGCAAACCATTACTGAGTGCAGAGCCGGCGATCACGGTGCATACGCTGGAGCCGCACGATCAGTTCATTATATGTGCTTCAGATGGACTGTGGGAACATATGAGTAACCAAGAAGCAGTAGACATCGTCCAGAATCATCCGCGAAACGTGAGAACACACCCCATTCTTTCTTTTTCTATAGACATGATATGTATCTAAAGAATGCACATAATAATAACTCTTGTTTTTTGGGGGAAATATGTGGCAGGGGATTGCAAAGCGGCTGGTGAAAGTAGCGCTACAAGAAGCGGCAAAGAAGAGAGAGATGAGATACTCAGACCTGAAAAAGATAGACAGAGGAGTGAGGAGACATTTCCACGATGACATAACAGTGATTGTTGTCTTCTTTGATACAAACCTAGTGAGCAGAGGAAGCTTGTTGAGAGGACCGGCGGTGTCAGTGAGAGGAGCGGGTGTGAATCTACCTCACAACACCTTGGCGCCTTGCACCACGCCCACGCAAGCTGCGGCTGGCGGCTCCTGACAATTGAATTTTACGGTGTCCTTAAATTCTTTCCAAGATCTGTAACTATATATATATATGAATATATATATTTGATTATCATTATTATTATTATTATCATTATCATTGACTGGGAAAGGATATCAAGTGGTTAGTTTTGTTTGTTCCCTTTGTTAGCTGTGGACTGGAGAAAGAAATTCAGAAATGTCACAAGAATTCTTCTTTTTCTTCTCCTTCTTCGTTCTCTGTTCCTTTTCATTTCACTGCTAGCTAGCTCTTGAAGTTATTTATTTGCCTCTGCATCCACCTTTTAACTCTGGACAACACTGATTCCGGACGAGAGAAACTCAGCTTATTCAGACTTGTGTTCTTCTGTACAAAATGCATAACTGGACACAATGCCTTTGGTATGCATTTGTGTTCCGAACCAATCAATGAATCTCACAGCTCTTGCCTGAGAGAGTTTTCTTCTTTTTTGAAAAATGAAAATTCTAGATTCTTTTTCATTATATGCAATAGCAAAGAGTTCAACAAATATATTATGTGTTTCTATACTTTATTTATTCCAAAAATAAAAAAGAAAGAAAAGGATTAAATGTTGATAAATATTTGTATTAATTAGGTTTTATTATAGCTTATGAAATTGTTTGAGGAGGACATATTTTCTTTTATCGATTGTATATTTTTATCCAAAATATATACTAAAGGAAAAAAAGGACTAATTTGATAAAATCGATATGTAAAAAGGCTATAAACGTAATTAGGTGAAAGTTAAGAAACTGATTGAATTGAAATCGGTGGACGGTGGTATAGTCCACCATCATATTCATATAGATCTCTCTGTCTGCTGCCTCTACACAGATCTTTGGATAAAGAAGAAAGGAGGTACATACATACACACACTAGAAACAATGTCGATTTGTTCTCTTCGTTTGCTTTGAATTGTTGTTGTATGCTCTGAGGGGAGATCCCGTTGATCCGATCGAGAAACTCAGCTTGAAAAAATTGGAACGAATTAAGTAGATTTCATACCCTGGATTTGCTTTGCTAACGTTGGACTAGTAATGATATTAGAGACGACACTATATGTGGTTTCATTTGAGTCTCGTTGCTGACATGTTTGTTTGTTTGCTCTGATTGATTTCTGAAGATCTTAAAATGGGTGCTGCTGAAAACAACCTTGAAATGGAGGAGGGTACCCTGGAGATCGGCATGGGTAAGACCTTTTTATTTCTCGATATACCCATGGGGGATCATCTCATTTCATCCTTCAGTGATTGCATTGCCTGGTTTTCCTTTTCTTATACCGCAGAGTATAGAACTGTCTCTGGTGTTGCCGGCCCTCTCGTCATCCTTGAAAAAGTCAAGGTATATTGCCATCCATCTTTCTCTTCTTTAATATTCCTGTCCCATGGGTTTCCTCATGATACTGCTTTTCTCTCTAGGGCCCTAAATACCAAGAAATTGTCAATATCCGCCTTGGGGATGGAACTACCCGACGTGGTCAAGTTCTCGAAGTTGATGGAGAGAAAGCTGTTGTTCAGGTTTCTCATTTTTTCCCTCTCTTCATTACCTTTCTGTTGCTTTATTGAACGAAAATGTAAATCAATGTAATCTTGCATAGTCCTTATTATTTAGTCAACACGCTGAGGGTTCACTCTATCACCTTTTTAAACATCTGCCACTGCGAGGTAAATTTCTTTGATTTGCTTGTCCAGGTATTTGAGGGAACATCTGGAATTGACAACAAGTACACAACTGTGCAATTTACAGGAGAGGTATGTTTTTGCTATGGAGTTTACTACTAGTAGTAAGATTTTCTTACATTTTACCATTCTGTGGTCTCACATTTTCCAATATGTTTTTTCATAGGTTTTGAAAACTCCTGTTTCTTTGGATATGCTTGGTCGCATCTTCAATGGTTCAGGGAAGCCCATTGACAATGGTCCACCTATATTGCCTGAGGCGTACTTGGATATTTCTGGTGAGCTGCTTTAGCCTCTTCTCACATTATTATATCTCATTATAAAACACAGAGATATATAATCTAGACTTTTGTTTCTCCAGGAAGTTCTATCAATCCCAGTGAGAGAACCTATCCTGAAGAGATGATTCAGACCGGGATATCCACCATTGATGTCATGAACTCTATCGCTAGAGGACAGAAGATTCCCCTCTTTTCTGCTGCAGGTCTTCCCCACAATGAAATTGCTGCTCAGATTTGCCGTCAGGCTGGTTTGGTTAAGCGTTTAGAGAAGTCGGATAATCTTCTCGAGGTATCATGATTTAAACATTACTGGTCCGTGTCTACTGTTGGAAATTGGTTTGTTACAATTATAACAGTGATCCCTTAGACAGTTAGACATACCCATTACAAAATAAATTTAGAGGATTAAGTTAAGCTAGGATATTCTTTCTTGAATCTATGTTTTCTGCATGCTCTGTCGTCCAAATCCTACCTGGGGAGATTTGTTAGTTATTAGTTATTACTTTTTCTGACTTAACGCCCCTTGTCCTTCTCTGATTTGGTAAAATCTACAGTAAGTAGGTAGTTGTGTAATGCCATAACGTATCATAAATCACATTGGTCCATTTATGTGAATTTGCAGCACCAAGAGGATGATAACTTCGCCATTGTGTTCGCAGCAATGGGTGTGAACATGGAGACTGCGCAATTTTTTAAACGTGATTTCGAGGAGAATGGGTCGATGGAGAGAGTGACTCTTTTCCTTAACTTGGCAAGTCTCACAGTCACACTATGGACATCTTGAAGCAAATTTTAGTTTTGATGTTTCTTTCTGAAGGTTCCTCATTCTGTTTTCCTTACAGGCAAACGACCCCACTATTGAGCGTATCATCACTCCTCGTATTGCTCTTACAACGGCTGAGTACTTGGCATATGAATGTGGCAAGCATGTCCTTGTCATTCTCACAGACATGAGTTCCTACGCTGATGCTCTTCGTGAGGTGATAACCGATATTTACATGCTCTGTTCACAACTCATGTACTTTGAGATGATAGAAATTAGGAAGCCTAACATAGTGTTTAATGTTGACTAATACCCTTAGGTCTCTGCTGCCCGTGAAGAAGTGCCTGGAAGGCGTGGTTACCCAGGTTACATGTACACCGACTTGGCTACCATATACGAGAGAGCGGGGCGAATTGAGGGGAGGAAAGGTTCCATCACTCAAATTCCCATTTTAACCATGCCAAACGATGGTAATTCTTAGTTGCTATTTTCATGGTTTTCTGCTTTAGCATCATTTCCTTTGATTTTGAATTATTTCTGTTTGAAGTAAACAATAGGTGATAGTAAAGCTTGACCGAGATCGTTGAAAGTAAATATGGGATAGAACTCACCAGAAACTGGCTTAGAGGAATAGACAAACCATGCATGCTATAATAAGTCGTTGCCCGATCCCATAGCTTCCATCTAGGTCTAGCTGTTTGGGACTCTAACAAACTGAGTGGCTGATATACTAGTGTTAGTGTAGTACACCTATGTAGTAAATCTGATCATATAACCTTCATACGGAGGAAAATTTGTTGATCCTATATAAAAGGTTTGATTGTCAGTTGATAATTCTGTTCAAGATTTCTTTTTTTTTTTTGCCTCTTTTCTCTGTCCAGATATCACACATCCCACACCGGATCTGACAGGATACATTACAGAGGGCCAAATCTATATTGACCGACAACTTCACAATAGACAGGTACAATCTTTCAGAAGGTAGTTGGTTCAAAGATCTTATCATAATCGATATTACTACAATGTGAATTTAACTTGTATGAGAAACTTATATACCTTGTAACAATCCTATTGATGGACGTTTGATTTAGTATGTTAAATCCAGAATCACCCCTTGAGTTTTAGATAGAGAGAGCATGTGGATGAAGAGTAAATATTCTTGGAAAACTGAAACATTTTGTTCATGACTTCAAAACACTGACATTTGAATCTATCTACATGCACAAGCTAAAGAATAGAACTGATATAAGTTGGGATTTCTTTAGTGAACAGTTTTCCTGTAATACCCAAAATGGCAGTAGTTGTTTCACTTTAGTTTGTGTGTAACTGTAAGACGTTGGTTCTAGTTTTATGGATATGAATTGTCCTTAAAGTTGGTTTAAAATACCGATTTTCTTTGTGTTCCACAGATATACCCTCCGATCAATGTCTTGCCATCTCTGTCTCGTCTCATGAAGGTAAGTGTGGGGAATTCAAATTCAATAGATGAAGCCAGGTGATCGATTGTGAAAGTAAATTGACTTTGTATTGCAGAGTGCCATTGGTGAGGGTATGACTCGCAGGGACCACTCTGATGTTTCTAATCAAGTAAGACTTTATTTCTTGTCTATGACCAGCATTGCAGATAAGCTTTGTTTATGTAAGTTTTACTTGTCAACTTTTTTAACTTGTTATTATCTTTTTGTGACTTCAGTTGTATGCCAACTACGCTATTGGAAAGGATGTCCAGGCCATGAAAGCCGTGGTTGGAGAAGAAGCTCTTTCTTCCGAGGATCTGGTCTCTCTTCTTTCTTCTTACTACACAATCTAAACGCTTTCCTTTCTTATTCCCCTTAACACTTTTTATGTCTGATGTAAACAGCTATATCTGGAGTTCTTGGACAAGTTCGAGAGGAAGTTTGTGGCTCAGGGAGCTTACGATACCCGGAATATCTTCCAGTCACTCGACCTGGCATGGACACTCCTGCGAATCTTCCCCCGTGAGTTGCTTCACCGTATACCCGCGAAAACCCTTGATCAGTTTTACAGCCGCGACACCACCAACTGAAAGACATAGTTTCTACTGCGTTGGTGTGATGATATGTCCAAATGCATCTTTGTTTTTTACTTCTGCGGTTGGTTCGCACCTCTGTGTCTTCCGTCCCAATAAATGGTGTTTGTTCCCAATCGCTAGACCCTTTATTATTGTCTTCGAAACTGAGCAAGCCAGGTTGGTTATTCTTTTTGAAAGAGAGAATGAGATTCTTGTGTAATTTATGAGATTTTTATTTTCTTTTAGGACCAAATTACTGGTTCAGAACAATATACATTTGTTTGTCTTATTACAGATCACGAATATCAATGCAGCTTTTTTTTTTAATAACAATTTGGGTTTTGCATTTGATTCTTGGATCTACAAATAGAATTCAGAAGACGTGTATGTCTAATAAATTGGAAAATTCGGAATTGAATCCAAGCCGCAGACAGCGATCAAACGAAAGTTAAAAACTAGTGTATAATGTTTACTGTCTCAACCAGCTTTAGAAGTTCTTACTACTTTTGGCAGCTCAACGGAATCAAGGTCCCCAGGGTAAGGAGTCCAGAGCCCAAAGCCGCCTCGACTTTCCTTCAAACTCTCTCCTTTCCCTTTAAGTTCCTGAAGGCTTTTGACCCACTCGATCTTCGAGGAATGCTCTCGAATGTGAGGGTGCAGTTCGAAGAGAGAATTGTACTCACAGTTCTGGAACATGAACACCTTGAAGGCTCCTTTTAGTCTGTCCACTACATACCCAAAGCTTAGCTGGTCCCTCGGTGTTAACAGGTGTACCTCATTGAACCACAGGCAGCTGAACAGATTGTTCATTGCAGTGTGCTCTCTTATTATCACCGCTCCCTCTGGAACATCTGTGTAACGCAAGACAAGAAGCTTAGTAATCAATAAGGCGCATGATGACATTGATGTGTTTGCTATGGTCTTTACCACTAACAGTGTTCTTCTTGATGCTCCATGGTTCCAAGCCCTCGTATCGATATATTTTCATATGAAGATCAACCAGAGGTCGGGCGTATCGCTTTCTCCTCTTGCACGCATCAGCTTCCTCATATATGTTTCGGTGGTGTTTGTGTTGGGCAATGGCAAAAGTATGTTTCCCACGCCACAAATACCTGAAAGTGAGATGAAAGCAAAATATGCATCTTTTAGCCCTTTCTTAGTAACACGGAGACTGATAGTGGATATCAACCCTGTGCTAATGAACATTGTGGAGAAGTATATAATCTGCTAGATCTGTTTGGTCTACAGGTCTTATAACCTTATGTGTATTCATACCTTTCTAGAATAAGCAAGGGATCAACAATAAGCTCCATTTTCCCATCAATCCAAATGCTGTACTGTGCTTCAGGGAATAACCTGTGAGTTAAGATTTTCGGGACTTTACCATTCCTCCTAGGCTCATCATATGGAGGAGTTTTCAGTAGAATCAGACGCCAAATGCCAACCCATTTGCCTCCTTCAACGTCTTTCCTCACAGTAGTATTTTTTCTTAAGAAATCGAGAGAGACCTCATCTACCACCATAAGGAAACAGAAGAGCTTCTCAGAACGCTTGCTTATGTTTGATGGCTGGTGGGGTTCATCATATGCATCAAAAATCCCGGTTGCAACAACAAATTTACATTTCTTTACGTATTCTTTATCCAGAGATGACATCTCTGCCCCACCACGTGGCATGAATCCGCAATGGACCTGAAACGTTTTGGGTTTAGAAGTTACTAGTGGGAAGAATGGGAGAAGAGCTTTAGCCATTGCCTAAAAGAAGCCTTTTACCTTCATCTCAGGTTTCAGTTTGAAGCTTTCATCTCGTTCCGACCAGCTTATGTTTCCGCCAAAAAGAGGAAACTGAGACTTAGAGGATTCATCCTCTGTCACGTAGGTCAAATTTCTGACAATTGTATCTGCGGTTTTTTCACTTGGAAGGAGCACCTTATCAGGATCATAGGCTACTGGAATGGGGCATCCTAGAAATGAACAGAGTTGGTAAGCGTCGCTCTAGAATAAAGCAGAAGCTAAATAGATGGATATAGAATCTTACGGTGCTGGGGTTTAGGTACAAATCCAATAGTGTCCAACATGACATAGAGTCTGCCTTCTTTGTTGCATATAGCTGCAAGTGAATAACCAAGAAGATGGGGTTACTTTAATCTGATTACTGTGATAGATAGAATCTGCGGTGAATGCAGAAGATGGTTAGAGTAACTAGACAATAACAACATCTTGAGTGTATGTATATATAGTGAAGATTGGCAGGATGGGTAAAGAAAGAAGTAGACCTGAGAAGAAAGAAAGGGAAGATTGACAGGACCAAACATGAAACAAGAGGGCAAAGAGAATGAGTAGCATCCAGAGAATTCCACCGACAAGAAGCAAGCGAAGGAAGCCGGCCTTCCAAATCTTTTTCAAAGTGTAATCAGTATGCAATCTGGTGGGAGAGAAGAAGCCAGCCTCAGCATCTGCAACATCATTGGAGACAAGGAAAAGAATTAGAAGCTCATGAAACAGGGGTCATTTTCATGTGTAAACCACAAAAGAAAGTGATGATCAATATTAGTTCAATATCTCCTGAGTTAATCAAAACCAAAAACAAAAGAGAGAGAGAGACCTTTAGATTGTTGTGAGTTATGATTGATTCTCTCTCCCCGGCGGCTCAATCGCACAGAAAGTGATCGCTGAGAGTCACTCATCATCGCTCAAGAACCATCTCTACAGAAAGAGGCCAGCTTTATTGATTGAGAAATTGAATGGAGACGAAAGCCCCAGAGATCTCTCGGAAATTATGATGAAAGATAAAGAGAGATTGTAATCAAATCTGATCGAATCCAGGCGACGAAGAAGATCAACTCTCGCATGGATCTAGAAAGAAACCCACTTCACTTCTCTAATCGGCTTCCAATGTCGATATCGGTTTACTAAACTGCTCATTCACAGTACCGGATCGGACCGGTCCGGTTTGACATTTAAGACGACACCGTATAAGAAGGATCGTCGTCGTCGTCGTCGTCGTCGGAATTATTAAGGGTTTCCACAGAGAGAGAGAGAGAGAGAGAGAGAGATGGAGGGTGAGTTGATGGAGGCAGATATAGTGGTGCCGTCGCGTTTGAGCTTCAAGAAGATTCAGGCATACGAAAAGTACCCAAAAGGACAATCAAGCAGCAGAAGGTGGAAACATCTCAAGCAGATTCTTCAAGCTGAGAATTTTCAAGATCTTCCTCCCGACCTCCCCACTTGTAAGTCTTTCTCTTCGAATTAGAATGAATCAAACACTGAAAGAAATCAATCAATCAATCAATCTTCTTTGTGCGCAGATGTTAACATTGAATCGCCTCCATCCACCCAACCATGCAAGAGAATTTGCGATATTACTGGATATGAGGTGGTTGTTCCTTTTAGCGCTTTTCTATTATATTATGTTTTCGATTCTATTCTACAATTCAGAAAACAAAAGCTCAATCAACCAGCTTCTCTAATCTCTCGCAGGCACCGTATGTGGACCCTAGAACAAACCTCCGCTATGCTAATGCTCATGTCTTCAAGGCTCTGAGGTCACTTTCTTCCGACCAAGTCCACCACTATCTCTCCATTCGCAATGCTGCTGTTGTTCTCAAGTAGCTCCATTTCCTCACAATCTCTCATCATCTTATTATTCTTACTTGTAAACCAACAATTATGGTCTGATTTGCTGGGACATGTATGATTGGATTCCCTTGACGTGAGAGATACTAGAACAGAGTTTTAAAAACATTGATTTCAGTACATCCTCCTGCATTCTTTCTACATCAAAAACATTTAACCTATATCAAGGCTACAACATCTCCAAGAGACTCATGATAATGGAGTTGCCTTCCTTCCTCATGGAGCTTTCCTCAAGATCAACGCCAATATGTAACAAAGAGCAGCGTCCACCGACGATAGCCCAACAATGAAGACGGCTACCAGACACAGACTCAGTGTCGCAGTCTTGAGCTGTTTGTTCCCAAAACAAAAAAAAACCAAAGTTACAGCCACAAACTGCTCTCTCTTTCTCATATGTTGTAACAAAGAAACAACACATACCGTGCTTGTAAAACTTGGCCACTCTATGTATTTCAGCTGACTCGGTTGCTCAACCATGAAAGACAAGAGAGATCTCGTGCTCCTTTAAAGATAGATGAACAAGAAAAGCAATTCAATGCAACATTCACACTCTTATTTCCAGCAGAAATATTATAAGTGGGAGAAATTTATACCAGACGATGTCTCTAAGAAGGCTGAGCCATAAGGGCTCTTCTTCGGGTAGCTTATTATTATTATGAGAGCTCCAACTTTGACCTACAGATACCACCGTGCCATAGCCACGCACATGTTTATGACTGACTCTCCCATTGATACTCTACACACAAACATATAGCTAAGTGAAAAGCCTCTAAGTTGTTCCTAGTCATAATCCGCCATAGAAATAAAGGTAAATTACAGGATCCCCAGAAAACTTGAAGCAACTGGGTCCGAACCCATCGCGTCTTTGAATCCGGTGTGACGGAGCCAATCGGATTAAGCCTACGAATCCAAATCGAAGCTAGATTACTTATAAGGACAAGATCAAAAAGCAGTGAGAAAGCATATAGAAGAAGCGACTGGAGCGAATAGTGACCTGAAACATTTGAGAGCAGCCCCGGAGAAACCACCATCCTCCCTCAAGCGAGCGTTGGAGGAAGACGAAGCCTGACCTCGCGCAGTCGCAGATGTCAAAGGCCTTCGATGGTCTATGGGCCTTTTTGGGCTCACAATTGCCAATGACGTCTTTTACCTTTTAAATTATTATTTAAATTATTACTTTGGAATTTTGGATAGTTCTTTGAATAAGCTGACAACAGAAGCCAATTATCATTGCTTGAGGATGAAAATGTCTATCGAGTCCTAGTATTTTGTACCCTTTTTAGATAAATACATGTCCTATACAAATCTCATCCTTCATCCCCATCCCCATCCTCATCATCATCAACTTCAACTTCACCATTCTCTTCCTCTTCCTCTTCCGCACTATCATCATCATCTGAACTCTCTTCACTAGATTCATCGTCAGAATCATCATCACCATCCACATTATATCCGTCGAACCATTGCAGGTTACCAAAACACGAAGCCTGTTTCCAAGAAGCAACATACAAACAACCAAATTCAGCATACCCCCGAGTCTTCAAACACAAAAAAAAAAACCATCTATAAAGCAATCAAGGTTAGCAATAGCTGGTGGCATTACCTGTTTTTCATTTGCTGGCGACACAGGTTTCTCGGTTCCTCCAGGAGTCCATATTTTGATATCAGTATCTATTCCACTGCTACACATCAGTGGCAAGTGAGGATGAGACTCTATACAGTTAACAACATGTTTGTCTGCTTCCATGGCACGGAGGAGCTCTCCGTCTTTCTTCCTCCAGATGAATATTCGGCCACAGTCAGAACCACTTACCACATACTCACACTTGGGTCCAAAAAAGTTGACACCTTTGACTGTTTCACGGTTCTTGTGCTCTTTATAAACCTGAGGCGTCATCCTCTCCTCAGTCTTAGTTGAAGAGGGATATGGGGCTGGGCCTAGCCCCATATCAGGGGTGAAAAGATAGATGAACTCGTCACTATATGAAGCAAGGAGCTCACTTTGATCTGAGAATGCCAGACCTGTTATTCCTACATGGTCATTTCCAATCAAATGGCCAGGACAAAAGTGGTCTACGGGTTGGGTAAAATTATACCAACCCTCTGAGCGATAGCTGCGAATATCATAGAGACGAGCATACTCATCCATTCCAGCCACCGCAAGAAGACCAGGGTTCCTCGGATCAACTGCAATTGCATGCAAGTAGACAACTAAATTGAACTTTGCTTCTTTACAAGTGAAAAGATTTGTAGCCACCCGAGTCCTAAGATCAAACTGAAAATACTTGTTGTTATGGGCGGCCTAGGACTTGTTCTAAGAAGTCCAATGATAAGAAGAAGAAAAATGAAAGGTCATGTTCTACAGGAAAATACAACTCACATGCTTAACAGCCCCATCCTCACCACAAGTATAGAATGAGAATGGACTTCCAGGCTCAACAGCCAACTTGTGGACAGGTCCTTGATGTTTACCCAACAAAGAAGTCTCTACTTGTCCAGATTCAAGAATTTTGGAATAGCGGACCTGTTACAAAATGAATGCAAAGGGGGAATTTAAAGTTGTGGGAAACATAGCTAGTTCTAACATGAGCAAGATCTATCTATTGAGTAGTAGATATTTCCAGGAGGTATGAGATATATAAATCATGATGCAATACTCTAAAAGAGAAGAAGAGAGGGCGGGTGTAGCTACCTGCTTATCAGCAGCAGATGTGACTATGCTACGATCGTCAGAGAAAGGCATAAATTTGGCTTGAAATACATTATTGAAGTGGCCGGAATCGAATGAGAGTTTGACAGAAGCAGTCTCCCAGTCCCAAAGAATAACTTGTTTGTCGTCAGAACCAGAGAGCAAGAGATCTCCATCTGCAGTTGAAACTGACTGAGTTTACACAACCCTTATGCTTGTCGAGCTTCTTGTGAAGTCCGAGGCGGCGCAATAGATCCTGGTAATACAATGATCAAATCAAAGTCCAATTAAGATAGTTGGTTTCCTATCACTAGAAGCACCAAACACCAGAAATTACACAAATTTGGAATTGAGGAAGCGAACGCATTTTGAAAGCAATTAGAGTAAAAGAAAAAGACAAAGGAGGAGGATACCAATCAGAAGAATCTAAAAATGCCATCATTATTAGCATTCGTAACGCCATTGGGTGTAAACAAAGGTAATAGAGGAGCAAAGTAAAAACGCAGATTCAACGAGAATCAGAAAACCCTAAAGAAAGAACAGAGTGAATCAATAGAGGAATAAGGCGAGAGAGACCTCGGAGGCTGAAAAACGGTTGGAGAAACTGCGATTGGGCAAGAGACCGACCTCCCTTTCCCAGACATTCACGACGGAATGGTCGATCCTCGGCCTTTTCGCCGGCCGTCCACTCATCGTCCCCACCAGATCGAGAGTTAGGGTTAAGATAGTCTGTTTGATCGTAAGTAGAAAAGATTGAACGACTAGACGTTAGAGAAGAAGAACAGAAACAGAGAACCAAAGTACTTCATGTGTCTTAGGGCCACCAAGCCTCTCTTTTGACTTTTGACTTTTGTCTCTTTAAAACATATCACTTTTTTTTAAGGTATCCAAAAAATTTGGTGGTGGTCTTCTTTATTTCTTCGGCCTTTGCTTTTTTCTTTTTCTATTTTTGCTGGTGTTAATGCTAAATGAAGAGTTTTTCTTTCGTTAAAACTTCTTTGAGATAGATAGTGTGGTGCAGCAACTTACAAAGGAAATCAAAATCAATTGAATAAGGAAGCAACACACAAACAAATACAAGCTCATTATCATTCATCTGCAAATTAATTGCTATACAGTTTTCAATGATGTGTGGTGCTTCTCCTCAGGGCTGCAAAGATACCCCCTCCTAGTCCTGTTGACGATTTTTTCTTCTCCTCTCCTTCTTCTCCTACCTACACACACACACACACTCATTACTCTTTACTCTTCCATTGTTCCATTTACTCATATATTCATTTCCTTCAATCCAAATCCTTTTACTTACCTCCTTGGCTATCTCTTGCAGCTGCTCTATGATCTCTGAGAAGTCTGGTCTCTGCGTCGAATCCTGCTCCCACAATCTCTCCAATAGCTCTGCCAATTTTGGATGCGTGTTCTTTGGTATTGTAGGCCGTAATCCCTGACAAATCAAACACTCTTTGTGAGATTTTGAAAACGTTTACAACCACAATGCATTCTACACACCAAATTACCTTTTGGACAACCCCTACTGCTGCCTGCAATGGCGTCATGTATTCATATGGAAGCTGCCATCAAATCAACCCATCAGTTAGACACTATCAGCCCGTATAGTTATTTATTTTTTCAAACTAAAGAGTCACGCAAGTACCTTCCCAGTCAACAACTCCCATAGCACAATCCCGTAGCTGAATACGTCAGCCTTGTGATCATATGGCTTGTGTTCTATTACCTGAATTGCAGGAAAGCATAGTGTCAGAATGAGATACTAGTCATCTAATAAACGCCACCAGGTAACCAATTGGTTTATTAAGTGTCTTGTGGGCAAAGCGGGTCAATGCAATTGCAGACTATAAAACCACCATGAAAAACGTACCTCTGGAGCCATCCAGCGATATGTTCCAGTTTCAGCTGTCATAACTCCAGTTTGTGCTTTCACTCTGGCCACCCCAAAGTCTGCAACCTTAACCACCTGTAACAGTAAACCCAGACCCATATATGAATCTGAAACTGAATTGCTATCCACAGAAGCAAGAACTAACTAGGTAGTGAACACCACGTCAATGAGAAGAATATGATGGATAAAATCCTGGAGTAGCGTATGTGATGCAGACAACATGTTATTTAAGCATTAACATGGAGCAGTATTTCATCCAAAGTATATAGTAGATTCGTACATTCCCACTGCAAACCTACTAGTGTACATGGATGACAAAGATATATAACAATAAGTTGCGAGTATTACCTCATTTTCGTCCATTAAGAGGTTGGCAGCCTTCAAATCTCTGTGAATTATGTTATTTTGGTGTAAGTAGCTCATCCCTTTGCAAATATCTATAGCTACTTTAAACAAAGTTGGAAGCTTAAAGACGCCTTTTTGCTTGTGTAGATAGTCATATACACTTCCACCGGGCATGAATTCTATTAAATGTGAAAGAGACAGGCGAGAGAAAGAAAATGGTAAGCGTATAACGTGATATCAAACAAAATAATATAGATAAACATGGTCACTGCAACATACCTGTAACGATACACAGATGTGGAGGCTTGGTGCAAGCACCAATGAACTGAACAACATTTTTGTGTCGAACTTTCCTGGAAACCGAAAGATTTTGAATGATACTTTAGGTCAGCTGCTTTCGTTTATCTGCATACAAGATTACAAGGGAACAGACAAGAAGGCACACAAACCTCATAATAAACACTTCTTGGGCAAACTCTTTCTCTAGCTCTGAATCTAGACGCTCTGGCTTGAGGACTTTGATAGCAACTTCCTGGCTACAATATGTACCTTTATACCTGAATAAGACAAGAGGTAATAAGGAAGGAGACAGATTAACATCTGAGCACCTTAATATGACAATGCGTTTGATAGATACTGCCAACTTACAGATCTCCATAAGAACCAGATGCTATTTTATGCCCAAATTTTAAGTGTTTAAGGTTGATTTCCCAAACATCAGTTCCATCATTGGGTATTGGAACATGAGTTCTGGCACCTGTTTGCCCATTTTCCTTTTCAGGAGAGAAGGATTGCTGCATAGGCCAGCTTTGGCTCTGCAACTGAGTATGATGAAAAGAATTATTAATAATAACTTATAACAACACATGTGCGTCAGATGGTGTCCCTATGACAAACTGTAAGACTTCAAATAAAGCATCTAACTCATTTCATTCAGAATCAGGTGCTTTGGAAAGAAAAAAAAGGTTGTCAATGGATCATAAATTTCAATATACTTTGCATGAAGTTAGTTACGTTTGCAATTGAAAACAAGTACCTCGATCTTTGCTGCTTCTTTCTCCAATGATATTCTAAGTCTGTCTGTTTCCTGTAAAATAAAAAAGATAGCAAGACGGCCACAATTATAATCCGGAACCCTTTGCATATCAAAATAGTTGCGTTTCAACTACTAGATCTCTAAGAATTTGAAAAAACATAAAGCCAAGGATTCTATAGATAAATGGACCTCTTGAAAAGAAATGGATTACAGCCACATGCCAACACACTTCTTTTCTATAGAGCATAGATAAAGTACACAATACAAGGATAAGGATCACAACAAGAAAAAATTACCTCGTACGGCCAGCCATCAACAACAAAAACATCTAGTGAGTAGCCATCAGTTGTAGAGAAAGCATGCGCCTCTTGAATGTTCAGCCCAAGCTCAGCAAGCAAGGCAGTTAACTGCATTATTTACACTGGCTTAGTTAGTATACTTCAAGATAAATTGAATTCATATTTAAATTTTGTAATTGATGACATCATCAGACTCAAACATACATTTTATTTACTTAGAAATATCAAAAAAGTAAAATTTTGCAGTGTGTATTTAGGAGCAAGAAACACGGAAAAAAACCCGACAATAAGTGTACCCTAGTTCTCAAGGATGGGTGACAGAGGAGGAAGACTGGTACTTGCATTTAAAAATGGATAAGTTGAGACCAGGGATCACAAAAAATGCAAACAAGTTAAAGAGGTGAATTGAAGATTTCTTATAAGGCTGAATAATGCAAGAAGCGAGAAATGCTCATAGTTTTCAAAATATAGATAAGAATCATTAGTTGTTGAAACTCATGTGACAAAAACTTGACATAACAAGTTGCTAAACCCAAATCTTCCGAGTAACAAACTAATACCTGAAAAAGGAGTTTAGGCTTGTCTTCTGTGGAAAAAGTGATCTCATGCAAGGGCCTGCATTAGAAACAACAGGGTGAGTTGGAACTGCAAGAATATTTGTTGGCAGGAACAAAGGAGAAACATCGGTTGTTGCGTTTGGACATGTTGTTTGTGAAAGAAAGTACCGTGAATAGAGTGAATTGTTATGAACGGAGTTGTCTCCATCGTCGTCTTGGGAGATAGTAGCTGCAAGTGCAAGTGCTTCAAGATTAGGGGATGAACCAAAGGCAGGCGGCGGATGAATGCTGGAAAGAAGAAGATGAATGAAAAATGATTAAAGGTTAGAAATTAGAGTGTTGAATAGAAGAACGAGGAATTAGGATAGTGTGGCAAGGAAACCTTTTGCGGGTAGGAGAAGAATGAGCAGCATCATTAGTAGGAGAGTCGGAGTGAGCAGAGATCCCGGCAGGTTGAACCTTAAGAAAAGAGCATATCCTGTGAGCCCAGGAATCCAAAAGTTGACATAAAAAGATGAAAGATCAGCCTAACAACCAAGTATGGTGGTGAGAGACATCTCTCGTGGGGGATCTATGGTTTATAGAAATATATAAAAGGAACAACAAACTAACAAAGAAAAGGATGGCATAGAAGCAACAAAAAGATGGCGTAGTTATAAAAGAGAAACTCACCTGGACGAGATGAACATCGATGGCAGGGCGATTTTGGGGATCGTAAGCAGAATGCAGCAATCGCTTGTGCATCAAGACGTCTTCGGCCCTCTCGACATTCACATCCAAAGCATACCTAAACAAACAAAACCAATGAGTCATGTATTTATTGAATGGGCAATACATGCAGAAGAACCAAGCAAGAAAAAAAGACCTGGCAGGGAGGCGATTGAAGTGAGTCCAGAGGTCGTCTTCGAAACCAGGGAGATGAGCGTCTTCTATGTCGGATTGACGGAGACGGCGGAGAACCTCGTCGAAGACCTCCATTTTGATGCGCTCACGGCGGTCCATGGTGGCCTGGGAGGCAGGTAAGGCGTCGAAAATAAGTCTACTAGCGCAACTCTCGTTGTCCTCCATCACCATTGACGACGTTACGACGACGAGCGATGAGGAAGAGAAAGGGGAATGGGAAAGAAAGGAAAGTGAATCGAGGAAGAAGAAGATCTCTATATTGAGAGAGAATCCTCCTATTGATGATTGATCGATACAGAGAGAGACTTGGAGAAGAAGATGAAGATATTCAAATAATAATCTTAAGAGAGAGAGAGAGAGATACAATCCCAGAAATTGAGAATTGAGGAGGCAGATTGAAAGAAAGATTGAGAGAGAGAGAGATACTATGCTTTTTACGTTTTTATCTTTTTGTTCGGTTCTTTTTTTTTAAGTTGGGATGGGTGTTGGGGTATATATAAACGACGTCGTATTGGGAGGAGCGGATGAGTCATGCAGCCGTGGCGATACTGATCCTTTAACGTCTAAAAGGGGTATCAAAGTAAATTGCAGGTGGACGAACCTTCTCTGGATTAATTCTTCTTAATTATGCAATTGCCAAATTTAAAAATCGTGATTATTACTATAATATAAATATTAAACCGTAGTACTAATTAAGAGATCAAATCCCAAAAAAAAATCCAACACATTCTCCATTTGTCCCTCCAACAGATACGCCCTTTAATCAAAAATGGTGGCCCCAAATCATATATACGTAAGTATTAAAGACCCCACACTTATCCGGATCAGGTTCCACCTATGTATGTATCTCTTTTTTACTCTTTTGGTCCCTTTCTTTTCTTACTTATCCATTTTCCTACCCCCTTACTTTCCCTGTAATCTATCTATCTATCTATCGTTCCTTTTTTTTTTACATGCTCAATATTGGTGGTGCCAATTTTGGTATGCTTTATTTGGCACGTAGTATAACTAGCTAGTAAGTACCCCCACACATTAAAGATTGGAAAAACAAAGGGCCCAACCAACTATATAAACGTCTCTCTCGCATCTCACTCCCCTCATCTTTGGAGTGATATACGATTGCAGCCTTTATATTTCCATCCAAACTTGTATATTATTTAGATTACCATAACTAAACCTACAGGCTACAGTCAACCAAAAACAAAAACAAAAAAAAATTAGAAAAGATTATCATATATAAACCTTATACATATGTAATGGGTACCACGTGGTGCATGCACTTGTATATAATGAAAATGTCTTATGCGCGTTCTAATATGCAATATCCCTATTTCTTACTTCTTAGTATATTGAATCATTTCAAGTAACCATACTCTAAAACTAGCTAGAGATTTAACACGCATATTGTAAATTAATCTCACAATGGGAGACGCAGCACTTACATTATTAGCTATACTAGCATTTTTCTTTATTAACCCACCCCCACGCATACCACGATATATATATTAAGCATGGAGTTCGTTCTAATGCAATGCCATTTAATTTGGTCATCTATATTTGGTGAGATTAAACAACTGCTTTTTGTTTGTTTCTTTAATACTATATAGTAAGTACTCCATATTGATCTCGAGTAGGAGGATGAAGGAGTTGACCAAAGGGAGAGTAAAGATGCGGCAGCCAGACAAAGGAATAAACCACTTTGATCCGGTCGCCCTTTAATTATAATATCAAAAACATAAGATAGTCATAAGTTAATATCTAGAGAGTTAATAGGTAGAGAGGTATTTGGTCCCAATTGACCGATGGATGATGTGGCGGCACATGCCTGCATTGTTAGCCCACGTGGATTATTGCCCCTTTACTCTCCCCAAAGGTCACAAAGTGGGACGCCCAGCGAAGCGGCGAGTTGTCGCCGTTAAAGTTTGCTGCAATCCACCAACAACACTCCCATTACATTTCTCTCTTCTTTTTCTCACGTCGATAGCCATTCTTTTTCTTAGATAGAAACAAATTATCCATTTTTTATTAACTTATCCACGTCATTCATGCCTCGCGATGCCACTGTAAAACAAAACATTAATTTGGTAATCATTATTTCAATACATCCTCCAGGGTTTTGTGTCGTTAATTACATCAACAACTAACAAGTAAATTAATGGTCTATAGTATGGTTGCGTGCCATGTTTATTTATATGTTATCATATTCATATCATGAAGCAATATGCAGTACTATGTTAATACATGTGTGTATATTTATTTATTCCCTTGTTCAAGTACCAAGATATTCTTTTTCAAAAAAAAAAAAAAAAAAAAAAGTACCAAGATATTAGTATTAAAGATAATTCAACCACTAAACGCAATGTCAGATGATCACTTTGATAATATTATCACCAAATAATACCCAATATTTTAACAAGCTTTAATTATTTACATGATAAACCCTAATGACCCAATGACACACACACCGACGTTCAAGGATCATGCTAACGGATACGGCCAATTTTAAAGAAACACTTTATAAGTTTTTATTTGTTATAAGTTATCATGCATGAGGCAGACTTAATTATATATGTAGTTTACCAGTTAGTATTATTACACGATCCATTGATTGATTATGAAAATTTAAACAAATGTATAAAAGAGTTTAACAGATTCATTGAATCGGGACATCAATTTCTGATGGTGTCCATTGTCCCAAATCCAATATAGTTGTAAGCCTACACGTTAATTCATTGAATCGGGACATCAACTTCTGATGGTGTCCAATGTCCCGATATATAGTTGTAAGCCTACACCGTTTTTAATTAGTGCTCGATCTTATTCAAATTTATTAAATTTCTAACATATAAAACTATCATTTGACGTTATTCAGCTATCAACTGCTTATTCAACTAAAGTTTTTTTTTTTTAATTCAGCTAAAGCTTTAGATTTAATGAAGTCGGTAAACGAACATAATATTAGCTGTCGAAAAGTTCCGATTGAACACGTACAGAAAAAGCTGATAAAACTTGTTTGTTCAAAAGAGTAACAAATTAAGATGTGCTGCATCAGTCCCACTTTAAACAATAATATAATTCAGCATGTTGATATATAAATATACATGGTATTAGCTAGTTTCTACAAACATTAGGTAGATAAGTTCAGAAATAATATCATGAAAAAGTAAGCAACCCAAATATATATTGGCACAATATAATTCATTTAGTCCAAAAAACATGTTTTGCACGCAAACTCGGATTATTCAATCCTCGTATATTAGGAGAATTAAGTGTGATGATAATCCGAAATCCGAATGAAAGAGACTGACGATATTTATTTTTTGTTTAAACGAAAATATTAAACGTGGAGGTATATAGTGTAGCAAATTCAAATTATGTAGATATATAATTGGATAAGATGGCCAACGATTAATAGTGGAAAGAGTTTTTAAAAACATAGACTTGGCTTATTAGGTCTTGATTTAGAACTATATACTAATTGTCACATTCGCAATTATCTTGGAGGAAATGTACTGGCATGAAACGTCCTTTTTTACTTGTTTAAGCATTTTTTTCTTTTTGGTGTGATACACTTATTCAAGCAATAAACCATTCAACTAGTCTAAAATTTGGCTATTTTGGTCAAAATAAATACAAATACATAGTAGATTGCTATAAATTAACTTGGTTTTATTATGTAAGTAAATGATAATGACATATGGAGCGGAAATGCCCAAGAAGCTATGGGCTAAAGATACACAAGAGTCCATTAGAAGGGTGAAAGGCCTAATTTCTTATAGCGAAGGAAGGCCCATATGGAAAAGAGAGGCCCAAAATTCAGAGGGGAAGAAGAAAATGTCGATGAGCAGCGTAGTCAACGAAGTTGTAGAGAGGAACAAGTGTGTCTCCTCCTCCATACTTGTTGTCAAACACTTGAAGCTCCTTCTTGGCCTTCTCCTTGAGCTCTTCCGCCATTTCCATTGCCTTCCCTGCTCCATTGTTGTTGGTCTTCTTCTTCTCCTCGGTGATGTCATCCACTACCTGATAGAGCATCCCGACGGCTCTCCCGTACCTTCTGAGACTCTCGAGCTCATCCTCAGTGGCACCGCCCAAGAGGCCTCCGCAGACGGCAGAGCATTCCCCCATGGCTCCGAATTTCTTCTCCTGAACAAAGGAAAGAGGAAAGGGGCCTCCTTCAAGGTCCGCGTACTGGCCTGCAGCCATACCAGTGGAGCCGACGGTGCGGGCAATCTCAGCGATGATTCTGAGGATGGTGGCTGGGGGAACAAGGTCAGGAGGCGTGTTGGAGACAATGTGGTGAAAGCAGAGAGGGAAGAGGGCGTCACCGGCGAGAAGGGCTATGTCAGAGCCGTAGACAGTGTGGTTAGATGGCTTTCCTCTGCGCACAGGATCGTCGTCCATACAGGGGAGGTCGTCGTGTATCAACGAAGCCGCGTGGACCTGATTGTGTCATTCCATTATTAGTAGATCCAACATCTCAATTTGAGATTACAAGGAAAGAGAGAGAGTGGAATGTCACCATTTCTAGGGCACAGGCGGTGGGGAAAGCGGCGAGGCGATCGCCACCGAAGAGCTCGCAGGCCGCCACACACATCACAGGAGGGGCACGCTTGGCGCCTTGTGCGAGGACAGAGTATCTCATAGCCTCGTAGATCCCGGCAGGATACTTGACCGGTATGGCCTCATCCAGCTTCTGGTTGATCTCGGTGATCAGAGTCGTCCAATACGTCCTCAGATCGAAATTCAACGACCCCGAGGAAGAGGATGAGGATCGAATTGCTGCGGCAGAGAGTTTCATAGGAAGGAGAGTGGGGGGAGAGCAGAAGCTGCTGGGCATTATTAATGGGATCGCTGCTGAACCACCACTAAACAACATCGCCTCTGAGAAGGAGGAGGATCTAATCTATACTCTTTGAGATAATAGATAATAATAATAATGTCTTCAAATTAAGAATGGGTTCAGCCAAACTTTTGATAGTGAAAAGTGTGTCTGGTGCCAATATATGATTGATTTCTAAGACAGACACGTCGCTTTCATATGTCAGTCAAGTTTTTTAACTGAACTCGAGTCAGAATTTGGAAAATCAAACCCAACAAAACAGAAGAGAATAAGAAGATCGTTTTTAATTACACAGCGAACCTCACTCAAAACAGAGAAAGAAAACAAAACTTTCTTTCCTCTCATTCTCTCAGGTTTTCACCTTCTTCCACAGAGAGCGGCCAATTTGAGCTTCTCCAGTTCCGAGAGGAGGGTCGAGTTCCCTTCGCAACCCTCTTTCCACACCTCCATTCTTTTCTCTTCTTCCATGGCGTTCTCAGACCCTTTACTATACCTCAGGAGATCTACCATCATCCCCTAATATATTTATCCACATTTCATTATCATCCTTAGTCCTCAGATTGATAACCACAAGAGATTAGGGATTTTTGAGTTACCTCACGATGCCTCTTTCTGGATAAATCTCTGACAAGAGTCTTAACAATCTTATTCCGCAGGGATACTTTATCCTTGGCTTGGTTGCACAAGACTAATGATGAAAAATGATGCACAACCAGTGTATAGGCTACTGATCCACGCATCGCAGCTCTGTCCAATGCTCCACAAGTCCATGACTTCAGGTAGGCCTCAATGACGGCCTCGTTTTCCTGCAAATCAATTCACCATTTTTATCTTAGTCGATACTCAAGATGTCATTATATAACACTATCAACCCTTCTTTTTTTTTTTTTTTGCAAATTACCTCAACCGGTTCAAGGTAACCATCCGCTTCTCCCAAGCACTTGTCTAGACTCGGTAGAAGCTCGAGAACACGGGCATTGGAGAGGACCGTCCATGCCGAAAGCCGAACAGAGTGTTCCACACATTGATGCAGGTAAATCGAGACCTGCCGCCCATATACTACATCACCATATGACACCGCAGCATACTGCTCCACGACCATCTCCAGAAAAGTAGAGTAGTTCTCGTGAATCTCTGACTTGAACCTCAGGAGCTCAATGTCACGGTGATTTAGTCTCGCTTCATCAAGAATATGCCCATAGAGCTCCTGCAGAAAACTGTACAAGTTCCCAGTGTTCTTGTCTTCGATGATGTCCATTCCAACAAGTAACAAGGTAGACAAAGCGTGAAACTTCCAAACCAACGGCACACTCACAACAGGAGACGGAAGCAATCCAAAACTAGACGATGACTCAAGTCCTGCAAGAAAGAAAACTCCAGCTTTTGCAACTTCAAGCAACTCCGTGGATTCTGGTGGCCCTGTTGAGGTTTTCCCACTGTGGACTGCTGAGATGGCGCTGAGAAACCAGTGTGGAGGTAGGGGCATTCTCTGGTGAGCCCACTCTATGGTCGAGGAGTCCGATTTTTTATCCTGAGTTGAACAATTTGGCATTTCACCGTCCTCATGAATAGTCTCCAGACCAACTGTGCCCTTCCTTACCCCACTGACCCCTTTCTCTGCTTTTGATTTTCCCTTTGGCTGTAACCATCTATGTCTGAAGTGAGAAGCAAGTATACTGCTCATACGATGATAGACCCCTTCGCTGCATTCCCATTCAAACGATATGTTTTTTTTGTTTGACTTGATACAGCAGGCCAGGTGCTCTAAAGCATGCGGTCTAAGGACATATTCAAAGGCTCTTTCCACGAGTAAATAATCCCTTGGACCTGCAATCAAGCACATAGCTAAAGCGGAGTTCATTTTATCCATTAAGCCAACAGATCCCTGATCGTTCTGCGAGTCCATCAGAGAGATGTTAAGAAAGAGACTCAGAAGACCGGCATCAGCCTGTGCCAACAGAACTCTGGTTGACCAAAACCCACCACCGCTAGCTCCCCAACCAAGTCCAACGCCGGGAGCCAATCCGCCTCGTTTATGTAGCTCAATGGATTGCACGATGGGCCATTCTGATGAAACAGAATCTCTAAAAGAGCTCGACACAGATGTTAGGTCAGCCAGAGACTCTGCCAGTATTCCTTTTGCAAGCACAGATTCATCTCTAGTGGAAATACTTTCCTCATGAGGAGTTTCAATCTTCGATCTAGCAGATTCTATCAGATTTTGGATGGACATGATAGTCCGTGTTAACCCATGAAGACAACTCACAGAAGCTAATGCTAGTTCGTCATCTTGAGATCGTTCTCTCAGAAAACACAAAAATTCCATAAAAGAGGAACACCTGGAGGAGTCTTTTCCAAGCCTACTTACGTCTGCAACAGAAAAATTAAGAAGCTTGTGCTTGATAATGGCAAGGCCAATCTTTGGAACAAACTCCGGCAGCCATGGTAGAGGTTCTTCCTCTCCCTCGGCAGAGATTTTCTCAAGGACTTTAGAAATTGTACGCATGACACCTGAATACAACCACAACAGAGAAGTAGTGGATACAGAGACACTTTCGATTCCTTTCTCCCATTCGAGTAATTGAGGGGCCAATGTTATCCAGCTCAGTGCTGAATCAATCATAGGGCTAACATAACTCCAGTCCCATGTCCCAGATTCGTTCCGTGGAGTGTTTTGTGAGTACATATTAGGAAGTGTCTCGGCAAAAGCCTCAAGGACCAGGTAGGCCTCCTTTGACACAGAAGTAAACTCGCTGATGAGATTTTTCTCCCTGAGCTTTTCAAATGATGGACAACTCAACCACAGACACAGAGCTGGGAATAGCTCTGGGAAGCGAGATACGCAACAGCCACTATGGATACAGACCTTCCAAAGCCGGAGCTGTTCAACCATCAAAGTAGATGAAAGCTTGCAGTTCTGCTTCCCTAGCTTCACCCATGAGTCAAGAGAGGAGGTGAACTGAAACAAATGCCACGTGACCGCATTGAAAGTCCCGTTCTTCACAAATTCCATGCAAGTACTTTGATCATACCGGGCCAACACCTTAGTGAAATTAAAAAGAGAGAAAGAAGAACGAAGGTTACAATAGCTCTGAGGATTGATAGTTTAACAAACTTGAATCATCAGGTTCTGTCAAAAAACATCAAAGACAAATGAATATAACGACCCCAAGATAATTTTGTATGAGCGGACCAGTATTACCTTTAAGAGGCGGACAGAATTGATCTGAGAAGGAAGAACGTCCATTCTTTTGTTCAATTTGAAGCTTTTCACAATCGTTTGCACAAATTTGGGATACTTCAAGATTGCAGTTGTGCATTTTGGAGAATGCCTTGCTATCGCAATAGTGATAGAGATTATGCTGTCCTCAAGCGCTGCTGTTGGTTCTGTCTGAAATCATGAACATTAAAAAAAAAAAACCAGAAAACTAAGCAACTGATAAAGCAACACAAAAAGAATGAGTTTACTTGCTGAGTTACACATGGTTAGTGATCTGACCTCCAGAAGATGATAAATTCTTGGAAGGATATCCATTCTGACAAGACCAGCAGCAACATCTTGTCCGGCTACAAAAACATCTTTCTGAATTGTATCCGTATCTTCTGTCCCGTCATCCATGATTTCTTCACGGAAAGGAACAATATTGGAGGGTTTAGCACTGTACTTCCAGTAGCAACCACGGAGGAAGCCAAGATCAATTTCCGGCTTACTCCTGAACACCGAGGCCGTGAAGATATCCTTCCCGTGTGGTCCCATGTTCTGGAAATAGAAATGGATTTTATCAGTTTGAGCATATATAATCAAGTTATATGGGGACTATAACTTCTTCGGAGTGAGAAAAACAACTTTACCTCCAAAATATCAAAGAAGTTCTCGTTAAGAGAACAGCTCAGTAGACACTGAATCACTTTTACACATGCTAGAACAACAGAGGCATGGTTGTCATCAAGAGCCATCCTAAAGAAGAAAAGAAAGTTATATTGATAAGAACAAACAATATATGATATATGAGTGGTAACTTCACAAATAAGTCTCAAAATTACACCCATCAGGAAATTACCTCAATGCTAAGACAAGCTCAGGTTCCGGTCCAAGGGCATATGCCCAGATGGCTTCCCAATCAGTGGCTTTATCTTTTCCTTCCCTTGTGTAGCCTATTCTGCTCTGACAAAGTTTGTTCAAAGCTTTGTCGAGTACAGATGCAAGCAGATGCAAAGCAAGGCTTCTCTGCCCGGGAATCTGATATATCAATAATACATACAAATTAATGAGCAGTGATAACGAAAAAACCGCAGTCTCAGCCTACAGGTTTTGTTCAGCTAAAGCCAAAATTAAAATATGTGACAATCATACCACACTTCGTGCAAGAGCAATAGCTTCTTTGATGGTGTACCCTGCTGCCCCAGGATCTCCCTCGGTTCTCAAGAAGTCACGTTCGGCAGCAGATTCAACGCCAGACCACTTTCCACCTGTACATTCAAAGTGTAAGCAACCTCAGATTGTCATGAGTTTCAGTTGTATTGTTCTACTCACCAGTTTCAGCTGACGAGACAAGAACATCATCCTCAACAACATTCCCGTCAAAAGAAAATCTCAAGTCCCTGGCTGCCTCAACCCTCTCAGTCCATGTATCCCACACAAATCCTTGAGATATCGCTGACTTTTGCAGCACACTCTTTTCTTCTGGTATTGCCATCACTTCAGGAGTGACAAAATGACCGTCAGTTCTTGAATTCTTTGCTGTCTCATGGGTAATGGAAACCCCCTGTACTGAATGCTTTCGCTTCTTCAATTTTTCCTCACCACGTTTCTTCAAAATGGAGAGTAGTGCAGGATCCATCTTGTCCAATAACTCAGCCTGTGCCTCAGCAATCTCTTCAGGGGACATTGTTTGCAACCTTGCATGGTTCTCAACATCAATATCACTCTCAAGAGAGGAAGACGCCTGTCTAGTGCCAAGTCCACTGGATGGGGAGGAAGAAACAGCTAGGGGAGGAGAAGCGTTTAAAGGAAGCCTTTCCTTGGTTCCTAGAGTTTTGAGAAACGGTGCTTTATCAGAAACAATGTCTCTCTGGTATGATGCCCTGGCAGGTTTTTGGGCCAGTAAAGTGTTGCTGGATGTAGCGGCCGCATCGGCTGAAGCAACAGAGAGGGGCCTCGTTTCAATGATCTTAACTCTCCTTGATTGCTGAGGGCCATGTGTGGATGCAGGATCATCCCTAGAGAGCATATCTTTCCACCTCCGGAGATCCATGTCTTTCTTCTCTTTTCTTTGAAGCGGTTTAGCAAAAGCAGCAACGGAGTCTGCATTCATGAAACGTTCTTCTTCTTCTTCTTCTTCCTCATCGTTATCTTTAGGTTGTGCAATGCTGCTTCCCACAGGAGCCCAATGCTACAAAATCAAACATGAGAAAGTATATAAGATGAATCAGAAAGCTGAATTACAAGCCATTAGGTCAGGCACGGTGAACAAGTAGATGAAACTGTGGAGTCCAAGTACTAACTAAATAACAAGAGTAGAAAATCGAAAAAGAAGCTAACAAAATGAAGATGAAAGTTGCGAAACCTAAAAAGCTCACTAGAGGATTGGATTGGCTTACGGGTCCGTGAGAACGATGACGAGCGACGGGGAAGGAAAGAAGGGAGGGTCTTGGGGGAAGCGGCTTGTTTGGCGGCTTATTCTCCGATACTCCTTTCTCCACGATGCTCCCGACAAGCCTCCCCAAGACGTTGTTGGCCTGTTCCGGATTGATGAGTCTCCCGCTACTTTGCTCCATCACTCTAAACCCTCTCTCGCTTCCAACTTTGTCTTCTTCGTCTTCCCTGCTCATTTGTTTTTTTTTTAATTTTAGTTAGACTTCGCTTATAAGAAAGTAAAAAATAACAATAAAACCCCTTTCTAACTTTTTTATTAAATATTGGAACATCAACTTTAATCCTATACAAAACAAACCTTACAGTCTATTTTAAACCAAAAGTTGTCCCTTTAATACAATGAACATGATTAAATAACGTAAGAGACGTGTATGTGATGTGCATTCAGTTCTAGGACTTGACCAGAATCAGTAAACTTGGTAACGAGCTAAGGAATTGTGTTTCCTCTCTCTTCTGCTAACAACATTCCCAAAAGATAACATTCTTGTTGCTATTACCATAATAATACTCTTCGTAGTCAGACTAACAACAAACAACTACAGTCTCTACAACCATTGATTTACATTCTTCTATTTTCAACCTTAATCTCTTTCCGGCGTCACTCCCGTTACTCTTCTTGAACTCAGATTCCCCGCATACGACCATCCTTTCTCTGTTTCCCCCACTATTCCCTTCTCTCTCGTCCCATTCCTCTTCACTGAATACAGCGGTGGTGCTCTCCTCGGGCTCCTCGATGCTACACTTAGGGAAGGCGTTGCAAATGGTGAACCATGCGGAGAGCTCTGCACAGAGAACGCTTTCTGAGCGTTGAGTCCATTGATGCCGAATAGGGATAGCGTTTCCGTGACAGAGACGGATCTTCTCATCGCATCATCAACATAAAGCACATCATCTATTCTGGCCGTGATGTTGAAGGCCATGCTCTCCATCACCCTCGAGTAACTCTCCAGAATTGATTGCCCTACATCCTGCCAAAAACACACACACAAACTCTAATATTAAGCATCGTTTCATGTTGCAACCGGCAAAGCACACTCCTAACTCACTATACCTTGTTGTACTGAATCTTGTTCATGTCCAGCGTTGTCTGGGGAAGACCCGGGAAACGAATCCTCAGACTCTGCAAGAGGGTCTCGGCTCTCTGCACAAGGAAATCATTTCTTTCGGAGTCATTAACAAGGCCTTTAACCTTGCCACCCCATGAAGACAGCTTTAGTTTCGCCTGCTTCTTGTGCCTCCTCCCATTCTTCTGTCTCCAAACATGCACAGCCGCCTCAATCCGGTTGGCGATTTCAAGAGTCTGATGTTCGGATGAGAGATCAAGACAGTCCAGAAGACATTCGGGAGAGAACTTGTTTGCAGTTAAGTACTGGTAGATGATCTCTCCAAGACATTCCTTCCCGCTCTGCATTAAGAATTAAATCAGACCTCAATGAGCTAATCACATAAAACCACTTATGGTAAAAGAATGTATGCTCCAGCAGCAATGGAAAAAGCTCATCCCTGATCTCGAGAAGGCGCATACCTTGGGCAAAGTCTCCAAGTAAGGGTCGGGAATCTCCATTTCGGCGAGCACGCCGCTGTTAATTGCCAATGCAGCCTTGAGAATCTGGTTAGCAAAGTCCCGACACTGCTGCAGTTTCTTCCTGGCCTCTTCTGACAAACCGTTAGGCGGAACCTTAGGGCAAGGCAGCCACCACTTGTCCTCCTGCCTAACGGAAGCTGGAGAATTGTAAGAATCCTTGTCACATTCTCCAAGAACAATGCCGCGATCAGTATACCAGAACTCAGTATCGGAGAAAGCGTCAAGCATATCGATCAACATAGCATCGAGCTTCTTGAGAGCAGGGAGATTGGCATAGAGATCAGAGCGTGGACGGGTCTCCATGATCTCATAAGTGCCGCCTCCGGGGAAGTGCTGAATGGAAGGAATGAGCTCAACGATAGAATCGCTAACACAGAGGAGCCATTCAAGTTCTCTACGCCACATAGCCTTCTTCTGAGGAGCAAGAGGCTCAAGCCTCCAAAGCTCGCCGAACACAGTCGCTGTAATTCCAGTGGAAACTATCCTGATTAAAAACGAGAAAGCCCTACTCTATACCAACCAACAAAGTAAAAGAAGAGAAGATAGAGACGGTATTTACCAGAGAGATTGGTGATGGCGTTGGAGATAGCAAGCGCCGTACAAACACCTTTACCTCCTCCTGACATGTCTTCTCCGAGAAGTAGCTTAGCAAATCTCTCCTTCATCATCTCAATTTCTGAAACCCAAAATACCAATAAAAATTCTAATAATAAATCGAATCCTAGTGTTCATCAAAGTGGTCAAACTTATAAAGTTATATACCGGAGAAATCGTTGTTGTCTGACTGTTTGTCATCCCAGAGCACATCTTTGCCGCCGATCACCGGAAGCATAACTGGCGGCGGGAAGTAAAAGCCTCTCCCAGCGACAACCCGGGGGGAAGAAGGGATGGAGCTAGAGGGTCCCTCGCCGTCGAAGCGGTGGCAGGAGAAGCTGCTGGAACTCTCGGACTCGCTAATGTCGGCGCTGGGACTGTAACTTCCGCATCTCTCGGAAGAGACTTGGTCGTCTTCCTCAGAAGATAAGCTCCCCATTATTGTAGGCGGCAGAGATCTAATAACGGCTCAAAGAATCCACATTTGGTTGGGCAAAGAGACAGACGACAGAGAAAGGAAGAAGAAGAAGGAAGTGGATGTGATGATGGTGGTTTGATAAAAAGCAAAGGAGAGAGAGAGAGATGAGAGATATTAAAAAAAAAAAAAAAAAAAAAAGACTCCTTTCCTTTCCTTTCATGACTCACACTCGCTCTTCTTTTCTCTCACATCCATACTCACGCCGTTATCCTCTTCCGTTAGGGACGGGTATGCGTTTGGTAACAGATCAACCGTTAACTCACGCTCGTCACATTTAACGGCGATATTAAATTATATCCCACGGCCGTTGTCATTTAAGGAGCATGCGCTCCTGTTATATCAACCGTTGGATGATAAAAGTGAACCAGCAGGATCTTTTCGAATCTCGAAGCGGCCGAGAAAATAAAGAAAGGCTGACATTGTGTGGACTAGAAGCATTCCTTGTCGGATGGATCATCACTCTCTCTCTCTCTCGTACCACCGGCCTGAACTACGTTGCACCATATCTTACCTCGTGATTTTACGCCACGTGTCTTATACCTATTCGCCTGATCTAAACACTGTACATAGTATTCTGGCGTCATTAAAGTATTCCCATCGTACGGTCTAGATTGCGTTCGCTTACTTGTTGTATTCCGCTGTTTTCGACTTTTCTTTTTCACCCAACGCCGTTGATTACTACTCTTAATTCAGTTCATTAACGTAAAACTAATTTAATGCCCTTTGAATTTGGGTTAATCTGTTATTCTGTTTGTATATTAATGTCACTGATCACTAGAATATGCTATGGAATGGCGTTGATTCCCATGCTTTGCTTAATTACTTGACTTCACCCCCTTTTTTTTTTTCTTCAAAGGCTTTCAACCTTCCAAATAAATGTTTGTTAATTTGTCTTCCTATTATTAGTAGAAAATCTTTTCCATTGCCATGCTTTTCATTCGATTGATAGCCTTTTAATTTGTAAATTTCAAGGTCAACGAAAACTTTGACCAAATTGAATACCAATAAACATTCAACGTCTACCGGTGGATGAATAATTTGAAGTTTTATTTTATTTTATCTTTTGAAGTCTTTTTATTCGAAATTAAAGTTTTTTTAAATAAGTTATATAAGTATGAGTTTTTGTAATTTATTGTATTTCATCAAACAAAAACTATTTTGAGTGAATGTCTCTAATATAAAATACAAGTTGTATATATCATACTAATGAATATGGTAATATTACTTGGTTAATTCATATGAAAACATTGCCTACAAATGTAATTATCCAAAAAAGTTAACTTCATTTATTGTCTAGAAACACTATTATGTTAGAAAAGCTACATACTGTATGTTTGTCTTCAATAAAATAAACAAAGAATAATAAAAAATTCAAACATTTACTATTTTTGTATTAGACAATCGAATATTGTGTGTAAGTCGGCCATAACCATTACAAAACAGTCAAATTTTCATCAAATTTGGGAGTACATTACAATTTATGTAGTAGATTAATAATTGTGCAACATATATCTCGCTATCGAAATATAAAGAATAAAGAACTCAACATATATCCCTAAATAATTCATCCACGACTGGTATGAATTAATAGAGTCATTAAGGAGTGGTAATGGGAGTGTGTTTATTGGAGGCTCGGCCACACAACAAAGCATTCTTAGGCAAAAGATATTCATCTCTAAGAGAGTGTGTTTGAGAATAAACTTTGAGGTAGAATTGTTGGCCTAAGTATTGCCTCGCCCAATATTCACTCCTTAGATTCCACATCCCCACATTGTCCAGTGCTACATATACGGCTGTCCAAGATTCTGGATATACCTATAACAACCAAAAACTAGTTTAACTTTCTTTCTGTTTTGGTTACAAGACATTTCAGTTTTGATATATATAATTTGGTAAGATATATGGAGAAACTATTTGTACCTGAGTGGTGGAGCGAGAAATAGCATCCCTGAGATTATACTCTCGTCTACTCGCTTGCGACCATGTTCCTCTATCCATCCTGTGGAAAATACTCATAAATATCAGATGCAATGCATTATTACTATTACAAAGCTAGGGTGATATATATATATATATATATATATATATATATATATATATATATATATATATATATATAGCTAACCCTTAATTATTCTCACCCGACAACCCAAAAACTATATCCATCGAGGTGGTAACTTTGGACAATCTTCTCGCGGTTTTGAAATATGATTTCAAGGAAGTCTCTATGGTGTGCTCCCATCACTGACGTCTCCATTCTCATCCCTCCCCCTCTTCTCGGCTTGTCAGGGATGCTTCCCACTTTGTAAACGCCTTTGATCTTGAAGTAATCCGCAAGCTTTAGCGGAGTATCTGCAGCTACAAACGACACTCCGTTTATGGCGTAGCGTTGCTTCCTCCTCACTTGTGCCGCTGAGCTTTCCAATATTAAAGTCCTAGAAATCTTGATTCGACCATAGTGGTACGAGCCCTGTGGGTTAGGCCTTGGCCCAGACGCGGTTAGATTGGTTCTAATGGACCGGGCTTGTTTGATAGACCAATCTAGTTCATCGGCAGGTTGCTCAGCATGGACAGAAGCAGACGATGAGTGGCGGCTATGTCTTGAGTTGGAGTAGTGGATAGTGGATGAGACCAAGAGTTTTTTGGCGACAAATTTTGTGGAGACGACAATGTCATAGTCTTGGTCAGGCTGGTCCATGGTGACTAAGACGGAGTAAGACTGTCCTACGTGAATGTCGAGAGAGGTATACATGGACTGTATTGTATGGGTTCCCTCAACCTCGACGAGCTTCATCTGATGACCTTGGATTCTAAAATTCAGAGTGTTTTGAAGCCCTACATTCGATATTCTAAATCTGTATGTTTTACCTAATAATTGTTCCACAACAACAAAAAAATGATGAGATAATATATATATAATAATGCTCTTCTTCTTAATTAACTAAAGTATTTAAGTACTTGAGTGTTTTTAAGATGAACCTTTGTGGACTGTGAGTGAAGAAATGTAACTGACTCCTTGGCCATTGATCAAAACCCCTTCAGGCAAAGGTAGCTTGTGTCCTCTATCCAAAATTGCCTTCAAAGCCTGAATAATGTGCATTTAATTATGGTCCTTGTATAACAAGGACAAGTGCTAAATGGAACATAATTAGTTAATCAAGAAAAAAGTACCTTGTGGTCATGCTCAAACCAATCACCAATGAGGAAGGTGAAATCTCCAGCGGGTTCAGGGAAAGGGACGGGGATGCGAGGGCGGCTGAGGATACGGAAACCGCCAAAACCACCGGCGGCTTTGTGAACGGCTAGGGAAGGGAAGTAGAAGAAACTACCGATCTGGTCTTTGACTTGGATGGCATAAGTGTAATTTTTGCCCGGTGGGATTGGACAAGTCGTCCCATACACTCCATCTTGGTAAGAATTCTTCCTCAGTTGCACTCCGTTCCTTCATTAACCATTTTGTATTTTGTTAATTCATTGATATTATATAAACAACATGAAAACGTGACGTGTCCACCAATAATAGCTAACAAGATTGTGAAGAAACGGCACTAGAGCATGCAAATTGGCTCCATCAAGCCAATTATACCAAACATCCAATCTTTCTTATAATATAACTCAAGTGAAACGGGACTTGGTGATAGAAGGTCGTTTATTATCCATACGCAGTTTTTTCGGGGGTATAAATATATGCATTACACACTTATTGACGTTACTTGCATTGTTTTTTCTATATAAAAAAAAGATACAGATAGATAGTACGGTTTAATTATGACATAAAAAAAACTATATATACTTGAATGGGCGGTAAAAATTGGTTAAGAAAAGTGAAAACTAATGAATAAAAGAAAGTGGTAAAGAAGGGGAAATAGGACTTACCAAGATAAGAGAAAGGGCTCGTCAAGATCGTTGTGAACATTGATGATCAAATTGTCGTTGGTGACAGAGTAAATATCGGGTCCAGGATATTGTCCGTTAATCAGGATTCCCTGCGTGTATGGATAAAATGTAAAGCATGATCATCGGTCAAACAAAAACAGAAGAAGCTGTCCGCCATTTTGTTGATGTTGAGGAAAAGAAAAGATACCCTTTGAGGAATGCCAAGTGGAGAAATGTTGCCGTAAGTGACCCTCCAGTCGAAAAAACGGTAGGGATCATCAGCTTGAACAAAAGAAATGGTGGATATGGCCATCATCATCGTCCAAACGGCGCCATTTAGCCACCAGCCCATACTCGCAAGCTTGAAGTTTGTTTTGTAGTAACGGAACAAATGACTCTGGAGGCGTATTTAAAGTCCAATGAGGGGGGAAGCTTTTCCAATCAGCTAATTCCGTGTTTTTATTTCAACCTGTAATATAATAAGAGCATGTCCCCACCTACTAATTAATTTTATATCTAACCAAGCAAAGCCCATTATTTTTGTCCTTTGGGGGTTGTTATTATTTTATTGAAAGAAAATTGCAATCCGGTGAGGCTTGAGATATGCTTCATGTTGCATAGTTTTTTTTTTCTTTTATTGGCTAGAAAGGGGTTGCTTGTTTATGTAATACATCCTCCTGTTTATGTAATAGATTAGCGTCACGTTTTATTTTATTTGATCTGTGTTTTTTTTTTGGGTGAAATAAATTGAGTTGTATCTTGGCACAAATAGTCAGCGCAGACGATAAATATTGATTGAACACGTTATGATGAAGCAATGTATGTATATACGCTGGAAGTAGAAAATAATAGTAATATAGTCCACAAAATTTAATCATCAATAACAAAGAAGAAGAGTTGATTATTGAGAAACGGACAAACAAGAAGTTGCAAGAGAGTACTTAAACGCGTAGTATATTTTCTTGATGAAAATTCTGCTTTCTTTCAGATTGGGTTTGGCGGCGCAGGATTCTTAATTTTAGATTTAACATCATCTTACGTAACACACATATTTTCCATTTAACACAAATTTCAACGGTCAACTTGATAACCCAAATTGAGTGAGAAATGATATGAAAACAGCTGGAACCACAAAAAGAGAAAGTCACAGGCTGTCTTCTTCCCGTGAGAGGAGACGTCTCTCTCTCTCTCCTTTTCCCTTCACTTCATACACAGAGTCTCCGTGTCTCTGCTCCTTCTTACCATCCTTCCCTTTTCCTATTTTCCGTGATATCTTAAATGGGCCTTTTGCGGCCCTTTTTAGCCAGCCCAAACGTATACAACTAAGCAGAACCGTTTTTTGCTCACAAAGCATGGGTTTCTTCTTATATGTTTAATGGGTATTGGATGGATGCCGCTTTTAGGGTTTTCTTCATTAAGAGTTATTTAAGATTCAAGAGTTTTCAATTCGAAAATTGGCATGACATATAACGACGTGGACAACGATACAAGAAGATGAAAAAGCAAGTGGTGAAAGCGAAACTTAAAAAAAAAGGGTCTTCTTATAACTAGGTTTCCTTCTTCTTCTCATCATTGGTATGACCAGGAAGCTTCTCTTTGATCTTCTCCATAAACCCTTTCTCCTTGCCCTTCTCATTATGAGGTTCATGAGCTTCAGGCTTTCCATGGTGACCTCCGGGAAGCTTATCCTTCATCTTCTCCATAAACCCTTTCTCCTTCCCATCCTCATGACTTATACCCGCAGGAAGCTTCTCCTTGTTCTTCTCCTCTGTTTCACATTGATCTGCAACAACTTCCTTCTTCTTATTGTTCTTCTTCTCCTTCTCCTTCTTTTCCCCATTTTCACCCGCTTCCTCATCACTTGACTGCACACATATATCACATCAGTGTTATTAACATTTCTCATCCATAAGAGTTTTACTTAAGATTTAAGAACAAGAGTATATGTATAAATAAGCTTACAGAGCTGTCAGAAAGGTGGAGTCTTTCAGCGAGAGAAGGCTTCTCCTCTTCCTTGGGCTCCTTGGTTACACCGGCATTCTCGGAAGAATGTACATCTTCGGGTTTCTTCTTGAGAAAGTCAAACATCCCACAGCCTTTGGAAGCTGCAACATCAGCTTCTTGCTGCTCACTAGAACGAGGATGATCCGCCATCTTTTAGGAAAACGCAAACAAGTATTCAAGACTCACTTTAATTTCTAACGAGACTTTTCTTTGCTAGATGTGAGGACTGATGAGTTACACAAAACCCCTGCGACGCTGTATATATAGTAGCTCGATCTAGCTTTTATTTTCTGCTTATTTTAATTACAAGTTAATTCCATAGTAATTAACACTAGGTTCGCGTTTAGCCAAGGTATTGCCGGCTAATTGTACTAACAAGTCTATATATTAAGGACCAACTTTGATCGGAACAAGGTTTGTTTTTTTCGGAAAGTGAAATAAAAAACATAGTACATGTCCGAATACTCTGCGTTTCGCCGACCGATGGATGGTCGGTGTGGACGGTCCACGTTATCCAATAAAGAGAGCAAAAGCACTGTTTAAATTGTTTGGACATTATTAGAAAAATAAGCTTGAAAATCTTACTGCTAACTACAAATGGGCCGAAACAGACGATGGGCTTACAAAAACATAAGAGGGCTAAGATTGGGTTAAACTTGATGGTCATGCTGCTCACCTCATTGGACTTCATAACAGCCCCACCACTTGGAAAAGAAGAGGAATAAAAAATATACACACTTCTTGATCTAGACATTATTAGCCTAAACGAAATTCCATTTAGCACTAAGAGCAATATTATCCATAGACTCTTAAGACAACTCTAAAAAAGACTTTTGTTGGTTATAAGACATATCTCTTAAGTTAAGAGTTGTCTTAGGACATGATTATCAAGGGTTTCTTAACAATGGCTCTTAGTAATTTTTTAGTATTAAAATATTAAGATTTACCTCTTACAAACATGTTTTGGTTCTTAGCTAAGAAACCTTTCTTACCAGTTTTACCATTTGCCATTTAATTAAATATTTTTTAATACTTAAAATTTACCTAAGATTTGGCTAAGAACCTACCAATAATCATGGTCTTAAGAGCCTATTGATAATGATGGTCTAAGCTCAAGAAGACATGAGTGTTTCTTCAACTTAAAAAAGAAATCAGCAGTTGATATAGAATCTTAAACGATCAAATCATAATCTTATAATTTGTATAGCCCCGACAATGAACCAAAAAAAAAAAAAGATAGGAGAGGGAGAAGTATGAAGATATTTTCACATGTAGTAATGAATGCCGTAAATGTGACAGAGTCGTTCTCACATGGATGTTTCTTGGTTACCAATCTGTTGAATATTGAAGATCTCATTGACTGAAATCAACATTTTAACAGACAAACTTTTGACATGTCCCATGAATGATTAATAAGAATTACAATTAGCTAGATAGAGTTTAGTTATAATCCCTGGTTTGGTTGGCAGAAATTAGAAAATTTGTACTATCCCAAAACAATAAAGTATGTTTGTGCCTTGACGGTTTTGATTGGTTAAGGGCGTGGGGGTAAAGAAGGGGTGAGTAAAAAAAAGGAGACCGACCGACATGAACATGAACATGAACATGAACATGAACATGAACATGTAGTACAAGGCCCAGCTGTGATGCAGAGAGTCGGTGCAATGCCACGTCATCCACCCTAGACTATTGCTATTGGGTAATGCGGTGGTAGCTCTCTCTTTCACACCACCTTTTTTTCCTTCTCCTTTGAATGATGATACTATAATTAGTAGTATAGGCTAGAGATTAGTTTAGTTAATTACACACGCACTACTCAAACTCCAACTCTCAAAGTCAATAAATAATGAACACCCCTACTCTTGTGCCAGCTGCTTCTATTTACGACGTGACGTGTGCTATGATGCTGAGCTGGAACCCATTCCCTTCTTCATTTGTCACTACTAGTATTATATAAGACCACCATTAACGGTGGTGTCTTATGGTGTTCTTAGAAAAATCTTAGCTCAAAATTAAATGAAAAACCATGCCAATTGTTAAGAAACGTGGCTTAGTTAAGCCTCAAAATTAAACCTAAGCACCGTCCACGTGTCAAGTTTTGGATGAGTACTCTGTATTGAAGAAGGAAAAATAAAACGATTTCGTGTTTTTGTTTTCCCCTTTTCCATCTCTCTCTCTCTCTCTCTCTTTCTCTCAAACGCGAAACAGAGAAATCGTTGGAATCTCCGATGGAATCTCCGATGTGAGTGAACTCCGGCCGTCGTTCTTCCGTTAGGCCATCATCTCCACCGACTCTGGTTGTCCACGGCGTCTTCTATGGTTGTATCCGGCGAGGGTTGGCTGCGAAATCGGGAGAAGTTGACTGGATCTCCGAGTTTCGATTCGAAATCGTTTTCTTATCTTCAATCATCTATTATTCAAGGTATGCATGTCTCGTTGGTTGTGTGAATTGTTGTATTTTAGGATTTCAAATTAGGGTTCTTAGTTTTTGTGAAATTAGGGTTTCTTGATTTGGGGAAAATGGGTTATTCGTTGATTAGTTTGTTATTTGGCTAATTAGAAACATGATTGTGTGTGTGTTTGTATTGATTTAAGTATTTTCGAGCAATATTTCTTAGGATTTGTGAAATAAGGGTTTCGGGAATTTGGGAAATTAGGGTTTTTCGTTGTTAAATTTGGGAAATTAGGATTAAGTATTCTCTGTTGGATTCAAGGGATATTGAATTTCAAAATGGCTGACAAGAAGAGGGCATGTTGAAGCTGACAAGAAGAGGACATGTTGAAGAGGACCACATATTTGGGATCGCATTGTGAACCACATAACATAAACTCAATCTCTCTGAGACCACATATTTTTTTGATTGCTTGTTTAGCTGAGAAGCTAAAGACACCACATATTCTTTTGTACACCTGCGATTCATTTGCTATATAAAAACAACATGTATTGCTTATTGTTCTCACCATCTCACATTCTCATTCTCTCTTGTAAAACATTTTCTACCAATACCATAAGTCATTATTGCTTTTTGTTCTCACTTCTCAAACCAATACCACATCTCATTAGTGCTTTTTGTTCTCACTTCTCAACTCAATACCAACATCTCATTATTACTTCTAAAAAACCATATTTTCTACTTCTCAAACCAACAACTCAATACCAACATCTCATAAACGTAGCCCATTTTCTACTTCTAAAAAACCATATTTTCTACATACCAAAAAAATCCAATATTTTCTACATACAAAATGGCTTCGTCGTCCAATGATAATTTCGACGAATCGTTAGACGAAGAAATTAATAATATTTTCCAGGTAGAATTGGATAATTCTTTGTACTCATACGGTGATCCTCAACAAGCCAGAAAACCGAGGAAAAAAAGAGTCCATATTGAAAGACATCGTGAAGAAGGCCACATCCAGTTATGGAACGATTATTTCGCAGAAAATCCAACTTTCCCTCCTAATCTATTTCGACGCCGTTTTAGAATGAACAAGCCATTAATATTAATATTTTCTATAATTATAAATTATATTTTTATATTAATATTTTTTTTTCTAAGAACCACTTGTTAAGAGCCTACCATTAATCACACAAAAATCTTAACCCAAAAATACAATCTCTTAACTATCACTTTTACAAATTTATTATTTTAATACTCTTAAGAACCATTTTTAAGCACCCATTGATAATCATGCTCTAATGAGGTTCATTCACTCTCTTTTTCCTCTCCTCACTTTTCGTCGCATCCCCCACACTCCATTAATAATATTATTGTTTTTTTGGTTTCTTCAAGAAAATGGAAGGCTTTCTCTTCCTCCTCTCAGTCGTCTTCCTCTTCTCCTCATCTGCAGCCGCCTGCGACCGATGTCTTCACCGTTCTAAGGCTGCTTATTTCTCCTCTGTCTCTGCTCTCTCCTGTAAGCTTTCCATCTCCTCTCATTACTTCACTCTTTTGTATCTTTTTTCTTTTCTTTTCTCATCTTTTGTACTTATGGGTTTTTTCTTTACTTCAGCCGGAGCTTGTGCCTATGGCTCTATGGCTACGGGTTTCTTCGCCGGACACATTGCCGCGGCTCTGCCTTCCATCTACAAAGACGGCTCCGGCTGCGGAGCTTGCTTCCAGGTCAGATGTACGAACCCCACGCTTTGCAGCAGCAAAGGAACAACGGTGATGGTCACAGACCTGAACAAGAGCAACCAAACCGATCTTATCCTTAGCAGCAGAGCCTTTAGGGCCATGGCTAAGCCTGTTGTTGGCTCCGACAGAGGTCTTCTCAAACAAGGCCTTGTCGACATTGAATACAGGAGGTTCGATTCCCAAAAGAACTCTTACCATCTACGATATATGCTAGCTTTTCTTCTCATTGTCCTTCAAGTAGCTATTAGTAATAAGAATAATTGAAAATGAAACAGAGTTCCTTGCGATTACGGGAACAAGAAGATGAACGTGCGAGTTGAAGAATCAAGCATAAATCCAAACTACTTGGCGATAAAGCTCTTGTACCAAGGAGGCCAAACCGAAGTGGTAGCCATCGACATTGCTCAGGTTGGTTCGTCACATTGGAGTTACATGACCAGAAGCCACGGAGCCGTGTGGGTTACTGACAAAGTACCAACCGGAACTCTGCAGTTCAGGTTCGTGGTGACCGCAGGCTACGACGGCAAAATGGTCTGGTCGCAGAGGGTCCTTCCCGCTAACTGGGAAGCTGGGAAGACCTATGACGCCGGCGTTCAGATCACCGACATTGCTCAGGAAGGTTGTGATCCATGCGACGATCACATCTGGAACTGACTCACTCCAACTCTCTACTTTCCTTCTATATGCGTACGTAACAGACTTGTTTATTTGATGAGAGGAAGAATCAACGGGAATGCATAATCTGACGATTCCATAAGAATGAATTAAACAAGAGAGCTAAGAATGTAAAGGGATATATGTGTATGTACAAAAGGTCTATATATGTACACCATTCTTTCTATCTGTAACCTTGCGACTTAAAATGACATTACATTTTTTAAAAAAGAAAAGAATTTATCTATTGGCAAACAATGCTGATTGAAAAACATGAGCTTAGTCTCAGAAGATCTCTTCATCAACTTGTGAGTGATCCAAATCGCTTCTACTGGCTATGGGGACATTGCCAATGTCTGAGTACTCCGATGAGTCAACCTCATTTACATGTTTTGCTTTTTTTTCCACGACTCTTGCTTCAGAGGTTCGACAAATGCAGGAGGCTGGGTTCTCATGGAACTCGCCCTCTCCTGGTTTCATTTCATCTGGTTCCCCCATGAAACCCGTCTGGTATCTTCGGACCTTGGATGAGAAATCATCCCATGTCATGTTGTGTCTATTTTTGAAGAGCTCGTAGAGTTTCTTGGCGTTTGGACGGATGGTTACTTTGTGCCCCAAGTATCTCCTGCAAACACACATGCATGTGCATTAGAGAAGAGAATGAAAAAGTGAGAATAAGAGACACAGTTATACCTTCTCCCAGCTAAGATTCTAGCCATGTTGCCGTTGTTGTTGGTGACAAATGCGTCGCTCTTATCACAGACAATGAAGTCAAGAGCAGCCATGCGTGATGAGAAGTTCGCAAACGGAGCCAGTTCTATCTTGGAGGTCAGTGTCTCTTTCGTATGGAGATTTGGAAACAGAGCTCTTATGGGTGCCAATGTATCCTCCCCTCCATATACCTCGCCTGATGCAACGTACAAGTGAACCTCTTTCCCAAAACCTAAGCCTCTGAGCATCAGACCAATCTCCTCTGGCGTCAGGGGACATCTCCCGTGCCGCCGTACCTTTTCAGGGTTTGCCGCCTGCACATTGCAACAACCCCAATAATGAATAGAGTTAATTAAGAAGAGTTGATACTGGACCTACATTTATGGTATTCAAATTAAGCAAGCATGCTATTCTCTCACATGTAACGTTTTCCACCTTCTTCTCATAGCTCCGAGTTCGAGTCTCTCTTTTTGACCACCGCCGTAATAGCATCCGGAGAAGGCCAGCATATCAGGTTCGAACCTAGGAACCAACATGCACACTGATTAGCCATACACTTAGAAAATGTTATTATTAAGATATATGTATGTGTGTACCTGAGATGAAGGGCAACGAAATATTTGGCCTTTTTTCTCATCCGGTCAACCAACAATTGGCCCATCCTGTTGATAGACTCTGTATATCTCACCGCATGGTAGTTCACTCGACAACGCAGTTTCTGGAGCTCTGTATCAAGATTGTTGGACAGCCTGTAATCAAATTTGGAGAGTTGTACAACCTGCAACCATTAGAATATTGCAAAAGATGAGCCTACTTGTTGTAGGAATATACATCATGATACACATAGTTTGGAGGAGGATAACTGACATGTTTCTTATTAAGAATGGGCAAAACACGCTGCAAGTAGCAAGAAGGTGTACATTTCCTTGGGACACGCATTGACTGTAGGCTGGTGGATATTCTTGACTGCTCTTCTTTAGGAAGCTCCTTGATGATCTTGACGTCTTTGGAGAGATGCGAAATGAACCAATCAACATCAAATATATCCTCAAAGTTGCTGCGTACCACAAAAAAACAAAACCTGTGTTAGAATTACCAACAAATTCAAAATGGGAACAGAGAGGGATAGGGCAGGGACCTGGTGTCCTTCCAGTACGACTTCTGGTCAAGTTTAGGGACCACAAGAGTGGCGTTTAGAATGTATGCGGCAACTACAGCATCTATTATCTGCAGTAGAAGAAATAAATCAGAAAGAAACCGCCTGAAGACACGCCCATATATGGTTCACAAGGAACTCACCCCTGTCCGTTGCTGGTTTAAACCTCCGCTTGTCGCGATAAGTAAATACCGATTGGTTTGCCTTGTCTTATCCGTAACTGCCACAATGTCAATAAAAATATACGAAATCAATTGATATTTATAAAGAGAGGAGTCCTTCTCGCGTCTGTATCACGCATGCAAAAGGATCAAATCTTTACCTTGAAAGGTGTCAGTTGCATTGCTGCAGGCGTAGTAGAAGTTGGACAATCTCGAGCTCCATAACTGGCGATCCGACCTTCCGCCATTTTCCTGAGACACGCATAATGATCATGAATGAGGTCTTAAAGAATCTGGAAAGTTTACGTAAAACCCCAAAGAAACAAAAAGAGTTTACGTACGGGTACACGAAATGGAGTGGTGGTTGGATCTGGATTGGGTTCCACGGCCACTTGATTGTTGTGATGGATCAATGGAGGAGGAGAAAGGGCCGAGAATGAGAAGAGGATGAGGAGGAGAAAGCCGGAGACGGCAGATACAAGCGGAAATAGACGGTGACGGCGGCGAAGGAGAAGCAGTAACTGGTGGCGAATTCCGGCAATGACCAACTTTTTCTTGTCGGGTTCAGCGCCATTATCCCTTTTCTTCAACTTCAAAGAGGCCATTAATATTGTAGAACGACGAAGACACAAAAAAATAAAGAAGGAAGGAGGATAGGCTACAAAGAATAGGAAGAAAACAAGAGAAATGGGAAGGAGAGAGTGCAAAAGGAGGAGGAGGAAGAAGAAGACGACGCCATTTCTCGATGACGTTAAGGCAGAGGAGAAGTTGGTTGCCGAGAAACTATGGACAAACTCCAAACTAATCTCAAACAAACAAATGCACACAAATTTTTTAAAAAGAAAAAAAGAAAACTGAGTTTGGGTTTTTCCTTTCTTAAATCACTTAATTCTTATGCCTAAGCAACCACAGCGAATCTCTTGCTCTCTCTCTCATATGTAGTTATATTATTGTTACCTATTTGCCAAATGATAATTAGCTGTTTAGATTATTATCTAGAATTGAAATCGTCTTATTTTTTTTGTTTCTCAGTTCCAAAAACAAACATATCCGATTAAAGATTGGGGATTTAAAACGCCAACTCGTCTAAGAAATGAATGAAAAGGTTTTTCGTTCTGAAAAAAATGAAGTCAAACAAAAAAGCTAATATTAGAAAGATGTGTTTCGAGTCAATAGCAGAACATATCAAAAACGTGATGACATGTAAGGATAAAAGCGGAGAGAAGAACAAGTCTTCTTTGGTTTTGAATGAAAATGATGCATACAATACAATATATGTGAATCATTTTATTAATTTATCTAAAAAGCCTTGTTGAAGGAAGTCATGGGAGGGACTCATACACAACTTTGGCAGCCAAAAATAAAAAAATGCTTTGAGCGGTTTGGAAAAGACCGAACGGGACGGAAATACAAAAAAGAAGAAAAGATGTATGTTTGTAGTATTTTTATTGTTTCGAATAACGTGCCGATATCAGTGGGCTTGAATGGGCTTAATTTTTTAGAGAAGCAAAAGGCCCATCTACCATCGTCTTCTCCAAACAAAAACCGCCTCATGAGCAACGGTTAACCCCTGATTGAACCCTCTCTCTCTCTCTCTCTCTCTGCTTCCCCGACGATCGATCTCTTTCGCACCGCTCATCCTTAAGTTTCGATTTTGATTCGTTTCTTCTCCTTTACCAGTATCGTCTTCTTCTCGGTTTTCTATATCGTTTGCGAAACTAGCTTCTTTCACCGTCGTTTCGTTCCTTTTCTCTCCCACACTCATCCAATTGTAAGAACCGGATTTTAGGTCAGTTATCATCTTATTCCCCTCCGAGTCCTAACTGATTCTAATTATAGACGAACTAGTTAAGTTTCGTTTTGGCAGTGTGTGTGTGTGTGATGGAGTCCAGTAGAGTAGTAGTGGGTGGGAAGCAAGTTTCGCTGCCACTGGCGAATAGGAGGAACTCTAGGTTGGCCAAACCGAATATCCAACCAGGGACTTTTCTACCTATATCGCGGATCAATAAAAAATGCTCCCTTCACACCAATCCAAACCCTATGTATCCTTTTGTTACTCGCCGGAAGAGCCAGAGTAACCCTGATTGCGGTGTTGTCAAGTTGGGGGAAGAAGATGACTCTTGCGGCACACTGGACAAACTCCCGTAAGGCTATTGAGGTGTTGCGTTATCCCTTTGATACACTTGGCCATGTTTCTATGCGTTTCTTGCCTATGTAATGCTTTGATGATCTCCGTCCTTGCTAGGTTGGTTCATGGGCTTCACACTGCTGAACCACGTCCTGTTGATATCAAACGAGAACTCGTGATGCTCTCTCTTCCAGCCATTGCTGGCCAAGCTATAGATCCTTTGACGCTACTCATGGAAACTGCATACATCGGAAGGCTCGGTAGTTTTCCTTTGCTTCTCTATAGTTATTTCACCATCAAGATGTTATTTTGAGAGTTCTAAGGACTCCCCTTCTGTCCAATCTGCAGGATCTGTAGAGTTGGGTTCCGCTGGCGTTTCCATGTCCATCTTCAATACCATATCAAAGCTCTTCAACATTCCACTCCTCAGCGTTGCCACTTCTTTTGTCGCTGAAGATATTGCAAAGATTGCCGCTGAAGATTTAGCCTCAGGTAAACGTATATAATAGCTTTTTTCTCTTCTCAATTTTCCCCAGCCTTACATCTCTTTCAATGGATTTACAGAAGATAGTCATAGTGACATACCTTCTCAAGATTTACCAGAAAGGAAACAGTTATCTTCAGTGTCAACAGCGCTAGTGTTAGCCATTGGAATTGGCATCTTCGAGGCACTGGCTTTGTCTTTGGCATCTGGACCCTTTCTAAGGTTAATGGGTGTACAATCTGTAAGTTCGGTCCAGAGAGAGCTTTTTGTCTTCTATGTCTTAGGGAATTTCGTGAGAAATTTATGCTGAGGAATGCATGTTTCTTTCTTTTTTACCTGACACCCAGATGTCAGAAATGTTCATCCCTGCGCGGCAGTTTCTTGTCCTTAGGGCGCTTGGTGCTCCTGCTTATGTGGTTTCTTTAGCTCTTCAAGGCATTTTTCGTGGATTCAAGGATACAAAAACTCCAGTCTACTGTTTAGGTTAGCATTCTTTGAGATCTTGTGACATAGTCCAAGAACATTCAAGTATCTTTGTAGTTCTCGGTTTCCATTCGTTCCCTAATTTCCATTATGCAGGCATTGGTAATTTTCTGGCTGTATTTCTATTCCCTCTGTTTATATACAAGTTCAGGATGGGTGTAGCCGGGGCAGCAATCTCTAGTGTCATCTCCCAGTATGTATCTATAGATCTTACTTCTTTTCCTGTTTTCCTCTTTGCTCAACCTTGTAGGATGGTGCTAAACCCCTTTCCTCTGCTTCATAGGTACACTGTTGCCATTTTGATGCTTATACTCTTGAACAAAAGAGTTATACTGCTTCCTCCAAAGATTGGGTCACTAAAGTTCGGCGATTACCTAAAATCAGGTATGTAGACAATGGTTCTCACTTATGGGATTTATGGATGTAAGCACTGTATCGATATATCTAGGTTTTAAACCTTGACTTGAATTATAGGGGGGTTTGTTCTTGGAAGGACTCTGTCTGTGCTCATGACCATGACTGTTGCCACATCAATGGCGGCTCGTCAGGGAGTTTTCGCAATGGCAGCACATCAGATATGCATGCAAGTGTGGTTGGCGGTATCTCTTCTTACTGATGCACTAGCTTCATCTGGACAGGTATTAGATTCTCAGCTTGGTTTTCATAATTAGAGGTTTTGGCTATAGCTTTCTGTAACTGTTTTGTATTAAATGGGACGAAAACCACTGAGATAGTCGAGAGATGTAATTAAGCCTCGTGTCTTGTTGATCAGGCCTTGATCGCGAGTTCTGCATCCAAAAGAGACTTTGAAGGTGTGAAAGAGGTCACTACTTTTGTTCTGAAGGTCTGAGCCAACTTCCCTTTTCGCAGTTCATATTCACTTGTTGGGAATGCTAATTGATCTCTTGTTATAGAGAGAGAGAGGGTTGTAACGTGTTTGGTGTTGTACAGATAGGAGTGGTGACAGGGATTGCACTTGCTGTTGTGTTGGGGATGTCTTTCAGTTCAATAGCTGGTTTGTTTTCCAAAGACCCTGAAGTTCTGCAGATTGTGAGAAAGGGTGTATTGGTGAGTGATGTAATTACATAAAGTGGGTCGAGCTTTTCCCATTATACTCACGTAACATGCATTCAGTTTGTAGCGGCGACTCAACCAATAACAGCGCTAGCGTTTATCTTTGATGGGCTGCACTATGGGATGTCTGACTTCCCCTACGCGGCTTGCTCGATGGTAAGTAAGAGAGAGAAGTCCTCCTTGTTAAAAGATAAGATATAGGGTGAGTGAATGATTTGTGTGTGTGGCAGATGGTGGTGGGAGGAATATCATCAGCGTTCATGCTGTATGCACCGGCAGGGTTGGGGCTAAGTGGAGTGTGGGTGGGGCTGAGCATGTTCATGGGATTGCGGATGGTGGCTGGATTTAGCAGGTAGAGAAAGAGCTATATTTATATCTATAAATACAAGTTGAATGAAAAGTGTAATTTTGTGGTATTAATAAAGCTCTCAAATGGGTGTTTTTTGTGAATGGTAAGATTAATGTGGAGGAAGGGCCCATGGTGGTTCATGCATACAAGTGACAAGGTGAGCTAGAGAGCCTCTTCTTCTTATTTTTTGGGGCCTGGAAAACTTTTCTTGCTAACTCTGTTTCCTACTTTTATTATATGGCAGCGTCTTGCTTAAAGCTGTGAAGGAGAGTGAGAGAATTAGAGAGTGACGTGCCCAGTCGTCTTCTTTCATCAACATATACACTACATTTTACTTGTTAGCTTCGTTTGTCACTCATTTTTCGATCATCAATATATAAAATATGACGGTTTAAGTAAGTAGTTGTGAATTTACTACAAAGAGAAAACTCAAATTTCGATTAAAGTAGGCAAAAGCCAAAAGCGAAGGAACCTTCACATTCTGAAAAAAATAAGAGTGGTTGGTTGGAGTGCTATGTGTCAAAAACACATTTATGCCCGTATTTCAATCTTGACTACACATTTCCAATTGTGTAGTACAATATTCACGAATACTTAAAAGAATGGTAAATAAATACTTATTAGTTAAAAAATATCGGATTAGAAGGAAATAAGTGACTGTATATGGTAAACTTTGTCTAAAAGATAAGAAGGGATAAAGAGATAAGACAAAATGCAGCCATTCAAAACCTCAGAAATTAGTGATTTGAGATTTTCGATAAAAATTAGGGATTAGAAGAAATTAATGAATACAGTATAAAAATCAAACCCCAGATAGAGTAAATGAATGTGTATAGGTAAAGTGGAGTTTTGACATTTGGGAAAAAAGAGAGAGAGAGAGAGAGATGGATTCGTCGTTAGTAGGGAATAACAACAGGTATTGGGTCCTCCGCCACGGCAAGAGCATTCCCAACGAGAGAGGCCTCGTCGTCTCTTCCATGGTTTCTCCTCCTCTTTTTTCTTCTTCATTATTCCTTCATCATCATCATCATCATATATTCGTCTCCTTAATCGCCTATATATCTATATAATATATAAATTCTCTGCTGCTGGCAATTGTAGGAAAATGGTGTCCTCCCCGAGTACCAGTTAGCCCCTGATGGTATCGCTCAGGCTCGTCTCGCCGGCGAATCGTTCCTCCAGGTTGGTTTGCTTTCATCTCTTTATTTCCCCACCTCCCAAAATAAAATAAAAAACGCAACTTTTTCATGATCAACACTGTTTGTGTGTGCAGCAACTCAAGGAAAGTAACATAGAGCTGGACAAGGTCCGCATTTGCTACTCCCCCTTCTCCAGAACCACTCACACCGCTAGGGTTGTTGCTGAGGTCCTCAACCTCCCATTTCATGCTCCTCAATGCAAGGTATGTAAAGGATGGTCTACACTGCCACTACATTTGCACATACCTATGCTTTATCCGTAATACTAAGGGTGTTTCCTGCTGAGCAGATGATGGAAGATCTGCGAGAACGCTATTTTGGACCTACCTTTGAACTCAAGTCACATGACAAGGTACTTATCATTAACTTACCTAGGTTGGAAACGGCCAAGTGAGACATGTGTTCTCAAGTTCCTTCTTTTCTGGTTGCCACAGTACCCAGAGATATGGGCTCTTGATGAAAAAGATCCTTTCATGAGACCACCAGGAGGTGAAAGTGCTGACGATGTTGTTTCCCGACTTGCCACTGCCATGGAATCCATGGAAGCTGAATATCAAAGGTAAGCAATCCCCTAACACCCATTTCTTCTGCATCCAACTGAAAGCTAAAGTGTGTTTCTTCTTCATTCTACACACACTCGGTAGGTGTGCAATTCTGGTGGTGAGTCATGGAGATCCTCTGCAGATGTTGCAGAACGTTTTCCATTCAGCAAAGCAACAGGAAGGAGATGGTTTGGCAGAGAGGTTTCAGATGAGCAGAGTTGCTTCCGTCTTGTCACAACACCGCAAGTTTGCTTTGCTCACTGGGGAACTCCGACCCCTCATCTGATTGGCAATCAATGTATTCAACTTTTGGCATGTCTTTCCTTATCAATTCCTATCTCTCCCAGTTGCATTCTTGTAATTGCTCAACTTGGATTAGCTATTATCACCTCTGTTAGTTAGAAAGACAGAGCGAACATGAAGATTTACTCTTCTGTAATAAGAAATCATGCCAATTTATGTTATATGGTATCTTCAAATCTGTACACAGATATATAATATTTAACGGCTTCTAGGTGATCATCCTCTTCTCGCAAACAAATGCGCTTTGAGGAGAAAAATGTGGAACAAACTTGTCCAACGATATTTTGTTAATCTTTGGTGATCCATCTGCGGCCCCTGACTTCAAATCCACCATAAGCTTGATCACTACTGCTCTCTCCTCCGCTCTCTGCGCTAGTGTATCCTGATTTACGCCTGTGCTTTTTGGTTCTTGTAACTCCGCTATCGCTAAAACTCCCATTTAGAAGCGGATCATCGATCCCGCGAATCACTCTCCGACTGGATGATGACATGCAACTATCGTCCTTAACTCTTCTCTTTTCCTTGTCGTGTTTCTTTATGTTCTGAGAGATCTTGTGCAGTTTCTCATTGAACTTTGTGATGCTCTTCTCCATAGGCTCCACCGCTTGAGTCACTGTGAATCTCACGTCTTTAACAATCTACAACATATAGCCTCTTTGTGATCAGAAGCTCTTCATCCAATGATCATTTATTTGCATGGAAGAATTAGAAGACTCACATATTCACCACCACCAACGAAAACATCTCTCATGCTTTCTTTGATGGTCATACCACTTCTGATATCAACATCAGGATGTGGTAGGCGGACCTTTGTTGGCCTCTCACTGTCCCTAATCTCATCTGGATCAATAGGACAGTCAACAGATGCATAGTCACCAAGAACTGAAACGGATCCTGTAAAGCGGTCTCCCATTAGACCGTAAGGTTTTGCTGGGAATACATACAGGTGAACAACGGAAGCAATACCCATCTGCACTGGACCAACACAAGTGTTAAAGCTTTAATTTATTTGAAGTAAGGAGAACAGACGACTCCATAGACTGTTGTTAATAGGAAGCAATGAAGAAAAAGTTTTGCACTGGTATACAAAGATCACACATAATGCTTAACCTTTTGCAGAATTTGGTAACAGAAGACATTTACCTCTATGCAAATGATGAAATCTTGTACACTAGTCTTCAACTGCAAGCTTTGTGCAATTGAACTTTTGAACAAACCGAGGGAAGAGAGAAGAGCAATGGCAACACCTTGCCACCAAGTGAGAAACACAATCGACTTAAATGTTAGAAATTTAGCCAGTGGCTTTATGTGTGCAAGCTCATCTTTCGTTGCACCATAGAACTGAACCAGACAGTATAATGCCCATGACTGACTAAAATTTAGAACAACTGCCAAATAAGGGTACCTACAAAAAAAAAACAAAGGCAAAACAGTAAGATGCTATCTTGATCATAGATGAAACTGATTTTTGTTTCATAAAGCTCAATCTGTAAGTTAAACTCAACGTACCCACATCCCCATTTAAACTCTCCTTCACAGTACACACCGAACGCTTCAAGAATCAGAGCTGTGAGGGCCGTTAAAGACTTTATTATCATCTGCCAAAGGAGAGAAATAGTTTACTTCCACTTCAAAGACAAGACTTTTGGAGCAGCAAGAGAAACAAGAAGCATTTGTGAGAAACATACATATTGAACAATACCAAACTTAACAACTTGATAAAACCAGGGACTGAGCCTCCACGGTTTTAAGAATAAATTCATAGGAAAAGGATGTTTGATTGTTCCCTTTTCATCCTTCTGATCTAACAGTGGCGTCTTAAAGCTCTTACGCCCTTGTCTTTCCATAAACTCGATAGTCCTTTCTTCCCCACCTGATAAAAAGGAAGTTAAGAATTATCAGTTTAGAACAAACAACAAGGGGAAAAGAAAATAAGGTTGTGCTATTATCCTTACTTCCCAAAGACACGAACCTGCAATTGCACAGGTAGAAGTACAAGATACGGAACCTAATCAATACTAGAGAAATGTCTTGACACTAAAACGATAGCCACATATAAGCAAAAAGCTATTGAGAGCTAGCATAAATAATTGACATAAAGTCACGTAGATGACAATGTTTACACTTTCTCGGACAGCAAAAAATTTAAGAAGCTGACAAATAGTCATGAATGACACATAAGAAAATGTTTTACAAACTTAACAGATGATTGAAACTAGTAGCACAGAGAACCTTGGGGAAAGAGAAGAGAAAAAGACATAAAAATCAGTGAAAAATGGTGATACCTAAGCAGGCAACAAGGTATCTACCAAAACAGTACATGGCAAAGGATTCATAGCAGTCTCGAAGAATCCCACAATCAACACTGATGGATGGTTTGACAAGTGATGCAAACTGTTAAAAGAAACACAATTAGGATCAGATATTTTGGGGAAACAAATTCAGTACCATAAATGCGTTGACGAGCACAATACAAGTAAATAGAGTAACTGACCGATTCAATTGAATAGCAAGGGACCATGAGGATGACTCCGATCAAAAACTTTTGCTCCTGAGAGAGAGAGAAGGTAAGCAAGGATATAACCTGAAGCCAAGAATGGGGAAGCTGAGGTATATATATAGGGGGAGAGAGAGAGACAAAACCTCAGGGTTCTTGTAAGTAGAGAGGTGATCGAAGACGAGAAATAAGGAAAGGGAGAGCGTGAGAACCAAAAAAGCACCGGCCATAAAGCTTGCCCAAGCAGGAGCCGAGTAAGCCAGGAGATGGTAAGACTTTGATATAATATCCATCAGGAATCGAATATGCAATCAGGAACAACAACAACTTCCCATCCAAAAACAATCGAACAACAGTTCTCCAATAAATTCCAGCCTAACGACGAGTGATGATTAAACTGGATCCGCCACACATAAACCGATCTGAAGAAGGATCGGAGGAGACAGAGAACGAACTACCTAACCTAATGACATGAAATTTGATATAGAAATAAAGGATTGGAGGAAATGAAGAAGCCAAGGAATTGATCAGACGTCTGCAACGGACGACCCATGAGAGGATGGATGATGAGAGAAGACAAATTAAAAAGGAGATGCCTTTTTTATTTTTTTCCATCTCTACGTTGATGGTAAGAAAAAACGGCATGCATTGCAATTGTTAGCGTTTAAAACGGCAAGCAGAGACTGGTACTGACTCATCATCATCACCTCGTGTCTCTCGACTCTCTCTACTTTACTCTCCAATCCAACTTTAGTCAAACAACCAACCTCTCTCTGCAACTATATATAAATAAACCCCAACTGCTTAATTGGGGCTCTTCAGACAATCATGGCGATCCCTCCCAAGCTTCTCCTTTTACAGGCAAATTCATTTTCTGTCTTGTCCTTCTTGCGTTTCTTGCCAATTTATCCTTTTGTTTTTAAATATAAAAATCTGTTTTCTGGGTTTTTTCGTATGCAAATTGCCTATACTTTGTGTGCTTCTTATTAGGCCTTTACTTTAATTGAACGATTTTCGTCTCTGACTTCTTCTTATCTGGGTAGCTGTTATTTTGAGTGATGATATGGGAATGATTTGTCATGTTGCAGCTCATCACTTTCTCACTTTTAGTTAGCGCAAACCTGACCCACTCTGCAGCAAGGTAATTTGTTGCATTATAGAGACCGAGAGCCATATGTATGGCCTTCCTTTTTCTCAATCTCTTCTTATTCATTTCTCTTTTTTTGGTATCTCAGTAATACACATTCAACAGAGTATTGCGCTATGTATGACATTTGTGGACACCGCACCGATGGAAAAGTCCTCAACTGTCCTTATGCTTCCCCTTCCATTAAGGTATCAAACTTTTCAGATGTAGCACTGCACTTTTCCAATTACTTCTTCTTTCTTCTTCATGTCTGAGTCATTGTGATATTCGTTTTCGCAGCCTGATGAACTGTTTTCTGCCAAAATCCAAAGCCTTTGCCCAACCATAACTGGCGAAGTCTGTTGTACCGAGACTCAATTTGACACTTTGAGGTCTCAAGTTCAACAGGTTTGACTTTTCTCTGCTATGTTATCTCAAAGAGAACAAAGACAGACGTTTATTTTGTGATTTTTCAAGAGCGAACCTTTTGTTTTCTCTTCATACTTTCTTGATAACTCTATGATTTCTGCGACTAGACAACTTTTTCAAATCTAGTTTTCTTATTCTGTTGTTTTTGCTATTATCAGATCAGGCGATTTACTAATTCTTTGTTAATGCAATCTCTTTTAGGCTGTCCCTTTTCTTGTCGGTTGTCCTGCATGCTTACGAAACTTCTTAAACTTGTTCTGCGAGCTCTCGTGTTCTCCAAATCAGTCTCTTTTCATCAACGTCACTTCTGTTGCTGAGGTTAGCTTCCATTTTTTTCATGTCACAAGTTCAACTTTTGTTGGTTACCTGAGACCCATTGATATGGTTAACAACACTAGCATTGGTCATACTCTTGGGAATTATTCTAGGTGAGTGGAAATTTGACAGTGGATGGTATAGACTATCACATAACTGATACGTTTGGAGAAGGCCTTTACGAGTCCTGTAAAGAGGTGAAATTTGGAACAATGAACACACGTGCCATTAACTTTGTTGGCGGTGGTGCTCAAAACTTCAGAGGTGCACTGCAATTTGTTTTAAGGCGTTCTATACACGCTTTATCTTGTTTCAAAAGTTCCATGTTTCATCTTTAGTTCTGCATTTCCAGAATGGTTTACGTTTATTGGTCAGAAAGCACCACCTGGCTTTCCTGGTTCACCGTATGCCATAAACTTCAAATCAAGCACCCCTGAGTCATCTGCGATGGTACCAATGAACGTATCTGTTTATTCATGTGGTGACACATCCCTTGGATGCTCTTGTGGTGATTGCCCTTCGTCCCCAGCTTGCTCAAGTCCCGAACCCCTGCCGCCGCATGAGGAAGATTCTTGCTCAATTAGAATCGGTCCTCTTAAGGTGTGAGTTATGAAATATCCATTGTTGCTTGAGAACATTAT